GGGGGGGGGGGGGGGGGGGGGGGGGGGGGGGGGGGGGGGGCTCGTTGCACAAGACGGTGATGATTAACCTCACATGTTCTGGCTGATCTTCCGATTGTTTGATATTGTGTCCGCCCCATTTATAGTAATGATTGTCGAAAAACTGCAGCCATGAGGTTGAATCAGTTATTTTTATTTTTAAAGAGTAGTATTTATTACAGGACAGTTTTAGCTAGATAGAAACTATTGGTGCTATTCTCTTGTCATACAATACTCCCCTATTCTAGTCATACTTTATATTTCTAGCTGTATTTAGATCTATTAAGAGTCAGAATTTCCCAACAGAATCACTGGAATGAAATCAGGATCTTTTTTGCAAATCTAATAGTTTGTCATAGCACAAATAAGTTGCTTTAAAAGGCGATGTCTGCAGTTATGTTAAGAGGATTCCACTCTGATTTTAACCTGATTTATAAAGTATTTATATTTATTTCATTATCTATACTGTGCATATCAGATCTATAGTGAATACACCCTATAGATAACCTACATCCAGCTGTCTATTCGGTATATAATGTACTATAAGCATTCCTTACACACCTACACCGTGTTTTACTTGTACCTGCACGGCCTACTATAACTGCAGCACGTGTTCTGCTGTTCATACCGTGTTTATTCCACAGTCTATTTACTCTATATGTCAGTCTGTATATTATTCTCTAAATTAATTTGCACTGCTTGCTGGATAATAAAGACTGCATTACGTTGAATGCGTAGATAGGTCGTGAGGTCATTGTCTACGTAACAGAATCCGGAAATGGTTTAAACGGGCCATGCAATTCAGATTTTCCACCGACCAAAGGGCATGCATAGTGAAATATGACATAAATGTGATTTACGTGTAATAAGACAGTTTTAAAGAGATAACAGCGCCACACTAGTGTGAATGCGTGTCCGTCCGCGCAAACAAGACGCTTCATTCATCCACATGTAGCTGCAGCTGCACACGTTTAACGTTAAAGCTCGTCTGTCTTCTCCTCCGACAGTGTCTGCAGCGTGTGATGAAGATAAACATGGCTGTGTGTCGCATGTAGTCCCTTCTCACTCGGCTTATTAGCGGCGTGACCTTGTGCATCGATGTTAACTGCTAACGATAACTTAGCAGCTATACGCAGCCTGCGTCACCCTGTTTATGTATTACTTTTATTCTAATTATAAATACCGACATGTCGTTGTACCGACATTAAATAAAAGGGTCTCTTACCATTTCTGGATGTGTGAGAAGTCTGAGAGTCGACGTGAAGCTACTGCAACCCGGTTCTTAATCTGACACACTGAAGGAGGAACGTCTCCACGTGAAATAATCAGCGCATGCGCACTACATGCCGTAAACTTGGCTGCCCAGTTATAGAAAATTCTAGAACTCCTAAACCGCACAAACACGTTTTCATTCACACATGTTATTTTATGAGATTAAACCATGTTATAAAACTGTCATTAGTATTGTATTTACAGTGTTTATCTCTTAATTTATACATTCCAAGTCGGAGCAATGTTGCACAATGTCAACTTTGACCTCTATTTTTTTCCTCCAATGGCAACGCGAGAAAATTCTAGAAGCACCAGCCCCGGAACGAGCATTAACAAATCACATTCGAATTATAAAATCGTGTATTTTAGTTGAGGATTTTCATTTTAGGTAACTTTTTTACTTATACTCTACGACATCTTAGAGGTCGTACTTTTACAACTAACTTCAACAAAGGTTTTATTTTATTTTTTTTAAATGAAAGAAAAACGTTTGGCGTTATGGGGCGTTATTCATGGTCCGGGGCCCCGCCAGTAAACGACCCGGATGTGATAGGCCATGTGCAGTTCCTGTCTGAGGAGCTAATTTGCGCCACACGGCTTGTCCTTTTTATCTCCGCTCGTTGTACCACTTGGTCTCACAGACGTGCACCTCATTGCAGCTACAAAGCTTTTCAACTCGCAAGTAAGTGCTGACATTTCTCTTAAGTCTTTACAAAGATAACGTGGCTACTAGTACATGCTATTTAATGTAATTTAATCGGGAATGTCTCGTGTCTGGCATGACGAAACATTTCATTTTTAAAGTCATACTCCACCATGATGATTGTGCACAACTTGACTGGTAAATGCAGGACGTGTCTTATTATTAATATACGTGTTTTACGACAGTTGATGCAAATGTTGAGCAATAGATACGGTTTCCGTCAGTCCGATGGTGAGGCGTAAGTCAGAGAGGGACGATGGTTCCAGTTCCGCACATGCTTCTTTTTATTACAATATGACCTTGTGACGCACGACCTGAAGAGCACACGTGGGGGGGTTAACCAGGAACTGGTTTGTGGGGGATACCTTTCGTAATCCAGCCACGATCAAGGCCTTTATACATACTAACAGGATTCTTCTTTTATCGATGTATAAATTAAAAATGTAAAGTAGAAAACAGGTGATTTGATAGCTAGACGTTAAAGCCAGTAGTTACTCAATTATTGTACTTGAGTAACATTACTTGTGCTTTACTTGAATACTTCCTTTTTAATGTAACATTATACTTAAATCTCGGATGTGAATGTACTTTTTACTCGCACTACATTTAAAGTGTTCATCCCCTTCCGTGTCTCTACATGTGTGGATTTTGATTGTTTCTTGATAAACTAACAGGATTAAGTGTTCCTTTATGTTGAGAAAATCCTCCTGCTTGTTAATATAAATAAACTCTTTAAAAAGCCTCTTGGATCAAACTAACCAACAGAATATAAAGGAGTTAAAATGCAACATACATATTAATCATATATGACATCAAAACACTGACAAGGGAACATTTTACTGCACAATGGCTTCTGTTATTTTTCATATTTTCAGTAATTGTTGCTGATAATACTTTTACTTAAGCATGTTTTTGATGCAGTACCTATACTTGTAACAGAGTATTTTTATACTGTGGTACTAGTACTTTTACTTAAGTATCTGAATACTTCTTCCACCCCTGATTGAAGCCAACGGTGATAGTTTTTGCGGAGGGCGGGTTGGGTCACGGCCACAAGATGTTTATCTTTTTAAATATTGACACATGCGATTCTTAATCAAAAGAATATTTACATTTAACCAATTTGTTTTGATATTAGACAAAGCTCAAATTTAAAAAATCCTTCTAGATTAAAAGACGTTTTTATTTAAATACAGTCCTATTGGGATTGGGGGGAAACATAATATTCATTAAAACCGTCTAAGTCATACATTTGTGATAAATCTAATGTGCTGGTGTGAAATCTTATCTTTTCCCTGCAGACACGAGCTTTGCAGTGACGTTTTATTTTGGTAATAATTGGCCCTTTTTGTAGAAGGTGACTAAGAGATTTGAAACTGTTTGACCATCTCGCACAAGTGGAGGTTCATTCATTCATTCACTGGTGGGACGTGATACCACTAGTGTCCACTAGGGGCTCAGTTAACCTTTGTACCACTTAATCTCTCCTCCTGTGACATCTTGTGTGTGGGGGTGTGTGTATGGGGGGGGATTTGGAGAATAATTATTCAAGGCAGTAGATGGAAGAAGTACTCGGATCTCCTTCTTAAATACAAGTTACAATACAACAGTGCAGAAATAATTATATAAGTTAAATGCATGCTTTTATTATTATTTTGATTTTAAGTAAAAGTGCAGAAGCATTGGCACCAAAATATACTTGAAGTACAAAAAGTAAAAGTACTATTTTTTTTTTTTTTTTTTTTTTTGCAGAATAACTGTTTTCAGAATCATGTATATAGATGGATGGATACAGATATTAAAAAAAAGTTAAAGAAACAGCAAGACATATTCGAACATTTCCAACACGCCCATTACTGCCACACATTCACAACAAGCATTACATGAAGACATGCAGATAATATAGTGGAGTAGAAGTATAAAGTAGCTGGAAATGGAAACACTTAAGTACCTTTTTAATACAGTACTTGAGTAAATCTATTTCTCACCTTCCACCACTGTTTAGTTGTACTTTTTGCTCCACACTAAATCTCTTGTCATCGTTAATAACATTCTTGTGACTGCACAATACCTTTGCAGATGTAATCTGTGTTTCATCGCAGTGATCATGTCTCTGAAGTGTTTCATAACTTTCCCTTCTGTCTTTTTCTTCCCGTAGAGATGTTTCGTTTGCCCTCAGTCATGAAGCAGGTGAGGCCCGTGTGCAGGGCGCTGGCTCCTCACCTCACACGAGGCTACGCTAAGGACGTCAAGTTCGGCGCCGAGGCTCGTGCCCTCATGCTGCAGGGAGTGGACTTGCTGGCCGATGCCGTGGCTGTCACCATGGGCCCCAAGGTAACATTTGATTTGGCTATTACTGACATGTACTTGATGCGAGTTACCTTGACCCCGATGCTAGAGGCCCTGTTACTTCACACCACTTCCTGTCTCTACTCCAGGGTCGCAACGTCATCATCGAGCAGAGCTGGGGCAGCCCCAAAGTCACCAAGGACGGCGTGACGGTGGCCAAGAGCATCGACCTGAAGGACAGGTACCAGAACATCGGCGCCAAGCTGGTGCAGGACGTGGCCAACAACACCAACGAGGAGGCCGGCGACGGCACCACCACCGCCACGGTGCTGGCCCGTGCCATCGCCAAGGAGGGCTTCGACACCATCAGCAAGGGAGCCAACCCCGTGGAGATCCGCCGCGGAGTCATGATGGCCGTGGAAACCGTCATCAACGAGCTGAAAAATCTCTCCAGACCGGTGACGACCCCCGAGGAGATCGCACAGGTAAACATGAGCGGCTACTCGAGTGCAATCCAACATGCACGTTAATGCAGCAGTAATGTTAATCCAAAGTCATCATATATAACAATAAAACACTGATGGGGAACATTACGTAGGGTTTTTAATGCAGGACTGACTTGTGGTGGAGTAGTTTCACTATTTTTATCTTGAATTCGTCTTAAATAATGTCTTTTTGTCTTCAAGGTTGCTACGATCTCAGCCAACGGAGACGTGGAGATCGGCACCATCATTTCCAACGCCATGAAGAAAGTTGGCCGCAATGGAGTCATCACTGTCAAGGTTGGTATCATAACGTCACACGCAGCATAATGCTACACTGTGAACAACAGAAGACGAAATCTAACGTTGCTTAACGTCAGCCGTTTGGCTAAATAACGGAGCTAACAGCATAGCAACATTTAGAACAACTTCATCAGACACGTAGGTCTGTTATGTTGTAATTCATTCTCATGCATGCTGCTCAGTTAGTCACATTGTCTCTACCACTGTCCTGCTCATAAAGGAGCTAACAGCGAATGTACGGAGGTTCCATTCAGCTACAATATGGTGTGTGCCTGAAAGAGCTTTATGTCCAGCCCTGTGTTTACTGCTCCAATGATTGCTGTATTAGTCTGGAGAGACTTAATCAATGCGTGCTTTACATCTCAGGACGGGAAGACTCTGCACGATGAGCTGGAGGTCATTGAGGGTATGAAGTTCGACCGGGGTTACATCTCCCCTTACTTCATCAACACAGCCAAAGGTAACTGTGTTCCTACTGGCTGCTGTAACGTCATCTGTCTGAACACTTCCTGTTTGCCTATGAAGAAATAAAAATGCTCAACTCTACGGTCTCTGTTTCCAGGTCAGAAGTGTGAGTTCCAGGACGCCTACCTGCTGCTGAGTGAGAAGAAGATCTCCACCGTCCAGAGCATCGTGCCGGCGCTGGAGATCGCCAACCAGAACCGCAAACCGCTGGTTATTGTGGCCGAGGATGTGGACGGAGAGGCGCTCAGCACCTTGGTGCTCAACAGGTACATCTAGGATGAAGGCAGTGGGGATGCATTACTGAGGCTGTATGCAAAGCTGCAGCTAGCGGTGATTATAAATAAGGTATTCTACATATTCATCCATCGGTGAAGAAAGGAATTAAAGAGCAATCGATTGTAAATATACAAAAGAGAAAATGAGACATGTCTCTTAAAATGATGATTTTAAGTGCTCTATTACATTCTAGGTTTTAAAGAAAACATTGTTTGAAATGCAAGAAACAGGAGGTGGGCGGGGCTTAAACAAAGCTCATCACTGATTTTAAGTCATCGAGTGTCTGGAGGAGTTTAAGCTGTATAACTGTATTTACTGGTGATGCTCTGTAAGTTGTCCTCTGTAGTGCGCCAGCTTGGATTCTGACTTGCATCACACTGGGTAGCTGGTGTTAACGAGGGGGTGAAAGACATTATCGAGCTCGTCTAATAAGGGACTGGTTTACTGAAGTCAGTAAATGTTTTATATTAGTAGTGACAAGTGTATGGAAAGTGTATTGTATCTCTATGTTGTCGTAACAGGAAGTGATCCCTTTCTTTCATGCAAATTCTTTCTTAATTTATTCCTCCATTTAAACATTTTATTTGTCTTTAGTTAAGGGATTCATGTTTGTTCGTATTTTTGTCTGTACTGAAAAAATAAATGAACTTAAAGTCGTAAATATTCAACAACTTTATTTTCAGGCTGAAGGTGGGGCTTCAGGTGGTGGCTGTTAAAGCTCCCGGCTTCGGAGACAACAGGAAGAATCAGCTGAGGGACATGGCCGCCGCCACTGGGGGAACAGTGAGTCCACCTTCCACTCAAGTCACTGAGAAAATCTGATCTAAATCACAATGGTGGAAAGTAACCAAGTATAACAAAGAAAGTATAATGTTATAGATTGAAATGCACTTTATTGATCCCTGGGAGTAATATCAAAAGCTCCTCAGCAGATTAACTAAAGTTTATAAATAAGTTAAATTAAGCTCCAGCTTTAGAGGCTGCAACATTAAAGTGATGATCACGTGCATCAATATTTATAGTTAAATAGTATCATATATATTCTGAAATGGGCCATTCTGCACAATGAGTACTTTTACTGTTGGTAATACTTTGGTTCTTTTACTTAAATACAATTCTGAATGCAGGACTTTTACTAGTAACGGAGTATTTCTACATTGTGGTATTCCTTTAAATGTAATAAATGGCTGTGCAATTGACTGATCCTCAAGTTAAATTAGTTTTGATGTTTAAATGTCACAGAGGACCTGCAGACATATTTTACATGTTGCTCTCCCTCCAGGTGTTTGGAGACGAGGCTGTGGGTCTGGCTCTTGAAGACATCCAGGCTCACGACTTCGGTAAGATCGGCGAGGTGCAGATCACCAAAGACGACACCTTGCTGCTGAAGGGAGGCGGCAACCCGACCGACATCGAGCGGCGCGTGGTCGAGATCGTGGAGCAGCTGGAGAGCACCACCAGCGACTACGAGAAGGAGAAACTCAACGAGAGGCTGGCCAAGCTGTCTGACGGAGTGGCTGTGCTCAAGGTGCGTCTCTAACTGAACATCGCAGACGGTCCCAACTGCTTCACGCCCTAGTTTAGATCTAGAAAAACTTAAGTTGCGGTGCTCTCCGTTTCAGATCGGAGGAACAAGTGATGTGGAGGTGAATGAGAAGAAGGACCGCGTGACCGATGCCCTGAACGCCACGCGGGCCGCTGTGGAGGAGGGAATCGTACCAGGCGGAGGCTGCGCTCTGCTGCGCTGCATCCCATCACTCGATACCATCAAAACGATCAACGCTGACCAGAAGATCGGTTAGTACAACACGCAAACACGGGCTCAGATGTAATAAAACAAAAGTATGTAGTCATATTTCTTTTATAAATCTGAAGTACAACACTGTAAACTACTAGCGTACAGATAGCAGGAGCAGTATTTCTGCTAAAAACTCGAGATAAAGTACATTTACTGTACTTTATTTCAATATCATTTCAGATTGTATGTTTAAAATAACAGATTTTCATCTTTATAACATTCTTTTGTTTCCAAACAGGTGTCGAGATCATCAGGCGGGCGCTCCGTATTCCCGCCATGACCATCGCTAAGAATGCCGGCGTGGAGGGTGCGCTCGTGGTGGAGAAGATCCTGCAGGGATCGGCTGAGGTCGGCTACGACGCCATGCTGGGAGAGTACGTCAACATGGTGGAGAAGGGCATCATCGACCCCACCAAGGTACAGCGCTCACTCGTGGTGGAAGTTACACAATAAGAAGTTACTAATGTCCCCTTAAACGTGCAGCTGAATTAAGCTCGATCAGAGGTCTAAAGCGGATCAATGCTGCCACCTAGTGGTGAAGAGGCTCTGAGGAACGAGGGTGTGATGTACAGACTGTAAAGTCCTCAAATGTATATTTGGCTCTTTTAAATTAAATTACCCGACTTGGTTTTGACATGAAATCTTCTCAGATTTGAGGAATTGCTGCTTTGCTCAGTTTTATATCATTTGGGTTTTTGGCTGTTGGCGCAACAAAGCGAGACTTTATAAGACGTCAACGTGGATTCTAAGAAATTAATCTATGAGGACAATAATTAGTTTTACCCAAACTTGACTGCATCTTTTGCCAAATGTTCCCTGCAATGCCGTAACGCGTCTCCTCCTCCCTCCACAGGTGGTGAGGACGGCCCTGATGGACGCTGCAGGAGTCGCCTCCCTGCTCGCCACCGCCGAGGCCGTGGTCACGGAGATCCCCAAGGAGGAGAAGGAGATGCCAGGAGGCGGTGGCATGGGAGGCATGGGAGGCATGGGCGGCATGGGCGGCATGGGTTTCTAAGCCGATCCTCCTGACTTGCTGTACAGACTTAATACAGGCAGAGTGGTGCTGGTGGGGGGAGGTGACTGGGGAAAACTGCACCCACCTCCACCAAACTTTGCCCCAAACTGACCGGCCATGATGTTGGAGCTGCAAACATTTGACGACCCCTCCATCCCCACTTTCCACCACTTCACACGTTTCTGCCTCTTCGTCCAGGGGGAGCCTGATACCGAGGACGAGAGCTCATCAAGCCCAGTTTACTGTACTCTAAAGGCGGAAACACTCGACGGAGAGAATAATACTTCTACAGATTTCATAGTACACATATTGTTGATGCTCTGTATTACTGCAAAGAGAGCCCAAGAAAAGAATAGCCAGGATTGTGTCCGTCCTTTTTTTTATTTTGTCATAGTATTTTGTTAATTCTTGTTTTGTTTTTTTATATATAATATATCTGTAGTGTTTTGTTTGTCCCGGCTAAGTTCTGTGAATTAAATCCTGTCATTTGATTTAATTAAACCAATTTACTTACAGAGCTTTGAGCATTTTCTGTGACTTTTGCGTTTTGTGTCCGTGATATCACGATAATAATGGCTGATTGGATGTGTGAGGTGCGGTCAAAGTTACAAAGCAGTTTGGATCAGTCATGGTCTCGGCTACAAAGTTTAAATGTGAAAATCTGTGGTGTCGTGCTGTTAAACATCTTCATTTCTCCCCTCATACGCTTCAATGATAAAAGAACTACAGTATATAGATATACTTACATGAATCAGGATGTTATTCCTTCACAAAATGGCAAATAGCAGCAATCATTTGACTTATGTACGATGTAGACGATTTATGGTGATTTTCTTTTTTTTATTTAATAAATTCAATTGTTCAGATGTGTCGGATACTGATGTTATTTTTTAACAATACTTCAGTTGCTGTTAAAGTCACTTGATGCCACATGAAACCTTTGAAACAGCTGTTGAGATCACCATCACACCACAAAGTCGCTTTAGTAGCTGTTCTGCAGCTTTCACTCGTATCTTTATCAGGGAAATGGTTTTCATTGAGTTGTGTGATAAATTCAGCAATGAGTTACTTCATAGCTTAATATCAGTAAGTAAAATATGTAAGTAAAGTTATTTAAGTGAGCTCCACCTTTACCAGCTGCAACATTAAAGTGATGTACATATTAATGCATCATTAATTATAATCCAGTAATTCATATTCTGAAATTGGACACTCCATAAGTACTTTTAAGTACATTTTTTTTATTCCAATACTTATGTACTTGTAAGATGTTTAATGCATGACTTGTAAAAGAGTACTTCCACATTCTATTGCTACTTCTATTTAAAGCTACAAGGAGCTTTCATTTGGAGTAGATTCTGGTCCCTGTGGACAGAAGTGGAAGTGTTTGAGCACCAGAGTCCCTTTAGATAACCTCTTTACTACTCGTACTGAACAATGAGTCATTTTACTGTTCATACTTTAAATATATATATTTTTTGCTGCTCAGGTAATGTTTTGAATGCAGGACTTTTGCTCTTTATGGAGTATTTTCACACTACAGCACTTTTACTTCACTGAAGGATCTGAATACTTAGCTCCCACAACACAGGTCAGAGGTCACAGGTCAGCAGTGACATCTCCAATCCTTCTGACTCTTCAGATGCAGCCTTGCTTCCTAGCGGTCTATGTTACCACTCACATGACTCCTTCTGTCCAGTCTACTGGGCCCATGCTCCTCCTCCAGTAACAAAATAAACACCAGTCAGGGGTTTTTGTTTGTTGAAAAAATAGTTTATAAATCATGCAGTCAGTTCAACTTTCCAAAGTCTTTCAACACAAACACACAAGTCCTTTCCAAATCCCATGAAACACACATGTTCTTTAAAAGCAGTGTATGTCTTTATGTGATCATCAAACCAATATTTACGCTTAAACTAAGTAATAAATATGATAAAATGATTCTATTTCGAAAAACAAAAGAAAGATATGCTACCAGGAGGCTCTCTGTGAGCCGTGTGGGTCGGACAGTTGGAATCATGAAGGTTTCAGGTGAAGGTGTGAAACCCGGCCGGTTCAGGCCCTTTGTATCAACAGTGGGTATACATGTCTGCTTAGCCTTTTGCATTTAAAAATAACACCGATATACTACTGATATTGCACACTTTGCCATATAATGTAGCTTTAGCTTTTATGTCTAGCATCGTTCCCTTAATGAGAGCAGAGTATGAGTAACATGAAGAGGAGGAATAAACAGCGTCCCGCTAATGAAGCTAAACAAAGGCTCAGCCCCCTGTGAAAGGTGCGTATTCCTGTTAGTTTACAGCACATTCAGTACATTTATCTGCTGCCATTTGTACACAATCCTCACTGCATCCAACTGCCTCTGCCCTTTATTCTAAGAAAATATTCTGATAATACACTGACACAGTGGAGGTGGAAGTTTAACATGTTGCTGTTCATTAACCACATGGCATCGACTTCATTTTGCTTTGACTCATGGAGTTTTGTAGAATGAGTTTATTTAGCTGTAGCATCTGTAGCTTGTTTCCCTCACTCTTAACTTCTGTAACACGAAAAATAAAGAACCAGCTGTGACCTGTAAGCTCGTACAGAAGCTGCTTCAACCAGTGTTTTGTGGATCCGATGTCCTCGCTCTTCTAGAGCTGCAACTATCAGTCGATTGATCAATTAGTCCATCGACAGAAAATAAAACTCAAACTATATTATGTAATTGATTACTCATTTCAGTCATGCTTCCAACTTGTCAAATATGACGATTTGTGAGTTAATTACATAACTTCAGGTTTTAGACAGAAGAATACAATTGAAGAGGTTATCGAGCCCTCTGAGACTTATAAAACTATTTCCAACTTTTTTTTTTTTTTTCAAACGCATCAGTGAATCAGTGATTAAAAAGATTATTAATTACAACCCTAAACTCCTCTGCATGCCTTTCTTTTGTTGATCCCTTTGTCAGTTGTCAAACCTGCGTCAAGCTCTCGCAACATACCGTCTAATCCTTCTCCACCGAGCTCCTGACTCAGATGTGAGTCAGCGGTCAGAGGAAGTGTGTGTGTTGCCGTGTGTGACTGGCGACCTGAGTAAAGGATCGGGTAAGATTATGGTTAAACCTGAACGTGTCCACCTGTGACGAGAACCTAACTGTCTGACACGTGAGGCTCCACCGACCACACAGCTTACATCTAAATTACTTTTCCAATCGTGAAATCTGCACAGAATCGTACATTTCATGCATGCACTCTTGTATGGAGCTTGAAAACATATATTCTAAAGAGAAAAGGAACATTTCACATCATCGAAACGGATGATTTAGTCTTCAATCTTTATCACCACACCGCAACATCCAGTAGCTTCACCCAAGCCTCTTTAAAAAGGCTCCCATCTCTCCTACAACCTCAAACAGCACTGTTGTGTTTGTATCCCGACCCCGGTGATGTACAATATTCATCGACTACACATCCTGAAATCTGTTTTTGGAAGACATGTGCTTGTAAAGTGTCTACATAAAGCAGCTCGTTTAAATAAAGGTGTGTTCTGATCATGGAAATGAACTGAAATGGAAACAGGTCTGCATCTGTTTTTAGCACCAAGGTGAAAACGAGCTGGTGGATCAGTTATATATATATATATATATATATATTTATATTTATAAAAAAAGATACAGGAAACTGTTGAGATTAAACTTGGTCGTTGCTGTGAGAAAGGCACTGCGTTCCATCTCTCCTATTTCTCTCTCTGGCATTGGGCTTTGGGTTCGTTTGTCTATCTGTGTTTGAGGAACGGTTTCGTGCGGCACTACGTGTGGTGAACTTCGTGGAACATGAGCTCCTGAGGGATGGTCGTCTCGACACCGTGAATCTTGGAGGCGCGACGCATGAACGCCGAAACCATCTGCTTCACCACCTCGTCGAAGAAGACGTGAGCCAGCTGGGAATGGAGGAGGGAGCGGAACTCGAAGGAGATCTGAGGAGAGGAAAAGTTAGCAGCTGAATATCATACTGTATACACGCACGTCTCAAGAGTTTGATCCTGATCCAATGAAAGATACACTTGCAACTGCACACAAGCTTTTTCAGGTTTGTTTTTTGACTGCTACAGTTAGCACATTGGCGTCTACTTACAGAGAAGTCCACAGTGCAAGTGCGAGGATATCCCGGGAGGCCCGGGCTGAAACGCCAAACCGTCTCCAAGTGGTTGAACAGGCTGCCATCTGAACAGGAGGCCTGACGAGCAACATGATATATAAGATTCCAAATATCTACCGCTGAATTTGGGGGAAACATGTATACAATTAAGCACAAGACATGTAGCATAGTTAAGTTTGATGGACGTTTACAGAGTGTAAACATCACATAGCTTCAATGAAGACCTGGTAAAGGTGATACCAGGTATAAATGATACTGTGTGTGAATGCTGTGCTGAATGAAATGATTCCAACAACTTAAAGCAAATAAAGGCATGCAATAAAACAAAACTTTTTGGTGAGTAATTGACATACAAATGGTCACATTGTGTGGGTGAAGTACTCCTTTAGGGGACAAGAAACCTGGATGGCTGTATAGCTGAACAATACTTGCTCTATTCTACCAGCCTAACCTACAAAGTAAAGCTAAAACAAAGTGTAATAACGACCCTGTATATTTATTATATAGCACTATGCTGCTCTGGTGGTTTCCGACAGCGTGCCGAGGCAGTGCTGTACCTTGACGAGGTGGGGGCATATTAAAGTGATGAGAGAGGTGTAGTGCTCCATCACAGGTGGAAAGCCCACAGCTAGTTTGGCCTTGCAGAATCCCGCTCGCTTGAACACCACGTTCGACTTCTTACACCAGGGAACAAAGAGGCGGTAGTTCTCCACTCCGGCCACCACGTCGTATATCTCCTGCATGGAATACCTGAAAACACAAAAGGATTGAGAATGAAAGAGCCAGAAGCTCCCAGCGCGTCTGCAGGACAGGAAGCATGAGAAGGTCAGCTACTGTGACATAACATTAAACACTAAACAAGGCGGGCACAGTACAAAGCTCATGACCCAGAGTCTAAAGTAGGTCGATGAGGAACAGAGAGAGGCAGAGAAGAGAGAGACAGAAATAATGCAAAAACAAATTAAATAAAGCAACAATATGAGACAGAGATGGAGACTGTTTTATACGACTGCATCACTCCAGCTGAGGGGAAATGGCTGCAGCCGCCTGCGTCTATTTATACAAGCAGATTGAGTGATTATGACCTACCTCTCTGTGGAACACGGGAGGACATTTAGTGCGTCATGCAGGAACACATAAGTGGAGCACCAGAATTAAAACAATTACTTACACATTAACTTGTGAGGGCTGTGACTGGGAACGCAACTTTATTTTTGAAAACATGCACTTACCTGCACTAAGATTTAAAGGCTATCAACATGGCCGCTCGCAGCTAATGGTTGCTACAACGCTAACAGCGCAAACAGCAGCATTAGTTTTGACAGAGCGAACACTGTTTAGATGAGGTTTTGTGCACATTTGATTTTTGCACCTTATTGATAAATGTTGTTGTTAATACTTCGTTTATATTTGCACTCTGTCCCACTTTGTTCGGCACTTTCTGCAAAAATAAAGTTATCTTATCAAATGTTTTGAATGAACAAAAAACATTAACAAGGACATTTTGACTGAGTATGTCAAGGGAAAATAAAACAGAGAAGATGATATTATAATAATAATAATAATAATAATAATAATAATAATGATATAATAGAGCATCTCCTTCACTTTGTACAGCAGGCAAACGGCGACTCACCCAATGATGCGTCTCTCCGAGTATTCCTTCCTCTTGGAGAAGGAGGCGGCCAGGTTGAAGAAGCTCCGAGAGGATAAGATACCGAGCCCGGGCATGACTGTACTCCGCAGCGGAGGAGCGCGCGTCATCAGGATCCCACATGACGACAGGTATCTGAGCACAAAAACAAACAGTATTCACGTCACAACTGGATCAAGAGTCTCATCAACCACAAAACAGGGCAGGGCCAACACACTCACGATGTTTCTACAAATATTGTTCAACAATCATCTGTCATCATTTGTTTTCTGTTTTGTTTTTTTCCAGCCTCAGACAAATCTTAAAGCTTTTGTCCTAACGGACCAAAGTGTGACAGGAAGCTCTCTTGATAACATGGACTGATTTCTCATGAGTGCTCACTCGCATTCATTATCTGTAAATCAAGCAACAAGCTGCCACATACGCCTTTGTTTCTGGGGAACAGGACACTTTACATGGAAAGCCTTCTTGCAACACCTGCCAAGCATGTAGCGTTCAAATGAAATGGGCCACAGACGCCAGCATATTAAAATAAACACGGTCAAGGTATGAGATATGAGACCTCAAACACAGTAGAGTTAAACCTGCCTGGCCAGTCCAACCATGTTTCGTGACCGCTGGCCTACATGTCAACTATACCTCCTTTATATTTGTCCTGGGGGGACAGATGACAAATAAGGTTGAGAATTAGATTAGCTAACTCCTTTATTAACTTTCTAAAACACGGAGTACTGAAGACAATATCCTGCCAAGAAAAACACTGTTTTTAAATGGCCATTAGTTATAGTTCGCTTAAATTAATTAGGTGAGTCAGTCTCTGTGCTATAGGTTCTCACTTTTAAATTTCAGATCTACATATTAGATTGCATTTATAGAGCGCACCAGTGCAGGGGGCCCAATTCTTCGGGTTTAGACTCCAAAATGGAAGTCAAGGGACATGTTTTGTAATTTTGAAGTATTTTTGGCACTACGGTTTGTTGTCCTGTGATGGATGATACAGTCATGGGATGAAGTCATCATAATAGCAAAAAAACTCATCAGCCGGGGTATTTGATACAGTATGTTGTTGGTCAATCAATTAAGTGTTTGGTTAATTTGCCAAAACGTTGACAGTGGATCACTAATCTTTAATCAATTAGGCAAATATTTTAAAACGGGAAAAATTTAATTTGGAAAAGTTTCCTTGGGCACTTGGAACTTGTGATTTGCAATTGTCAATGTTTTCTTCACTGTTAATGAAGTAAACCATTAATCAACCAGCAAAATAATAATAATAATAATAATAATAATAATAATAATAATAATAATATGTTGCAGGTATTGTTGCCCCTTTTCGACAGCGCTGCTTTACTGGCTAGTAGGGACCAGTGAGATGATGGCTAAAGCCCTGAGTCAGGTCTTCTCTGACACCATGAATGGTAGGACTCCGTTAATCCATGGCTGTCCATTCCTCATCACGAGCTAAGAACTGTGACTAATCACCAAGTTTGATTTGTTCTTGGCCGTCACCCACGGCACCTGTTACACCCTGTTCCTCAATGTCCCTGGCACCGCTCTTAGGGCCTGAGTTTAGATTTAAATCAGCCATCGTGTCCCCACCACTTAATGTGGTGTGACATTATCGATGGCATTATCACCTCATACCCACGAAACCTATTCTGTGCATCTCATGACGTGCTGCTTTGGATTCCTGTTCTATTACCGGCCTGCTGGTCACTTAAAGAGCGCCCATTCACGACCTACTACCTAAAACATGATACAGCTCACACGTGCCACTGACTTCAAGCTGCCAAGTCCATGCAAGTGTATGGGTGCAGATAGACAGATGGAGGGTTGCAGTTGAGAAATTGAGACTTCAGAGCAAAGGAGGACAGTGAACCCCAAATGCAGGACAAAGGGGTAGTTTGCATACTGAATATTTAAAAAAGCTCTCACAAGTTTGATGAGGTAATGAAGAAAATGTTCAAATCATTGCAAGATACACTTTTTGGAAGTGTGCGGCCTACCAGGAGGAGCATTATTTCCCACTATAATTTGCCACCTTCCAGGAGTGCCAGAGGCTTCCATGGAGTTCAGTTGTGTTCCTCATTGATAAGAGTAATTGCTTTGGTCTTACTTTACCTAACACCTGTCAGTCCGCATGCACAAGCCTCTCCTGTGTAGCATTTTAAACCCCAGACCATAATGCATGTGCAGATATATTGCAAAACCCCACAGATGCAGCAGCTGTCAACGTTTAAAATACAATCCCGACATGCAGCTGTACCCATAAGAGGGGAGGCTGCAGCATGGAATGTTACAGAGTACATCTGAGACACAGTAACATAGTATTTCCAGTAACTGCTACTTTACAACATTTCAGAGAGACATATTCCAACAGTACTTTACAGACAGAATGCTTGATGTGCGTCTTCTCCTTTCACTTTCTACTTTAGCTCGAGATTTAAAAGATAATAAAAATACTTCACCTCACGCTGTTCCTAGTCTGTATTTCTCGGCTGGCTGTCGAAGGTAACAGTTTGATGCACTCGGCTACTCTCCTCAGGCTCCGGGTACCTCTCGCCATTGTGTCTCTTTTCTTTGAAGGATTTCTCCAAAAATCGACAAGCAAGAGGCGCCCATCGATTTATCCCGCCCCCTCCATGACGTCAAGCTACTTCCAGAATTCTCGGCCAACCATTGGATGACCCATACTCCCCGGAGCGTTTTCATTGGCCAGTTCCGTGTGTTCGTCAACCGTCATTGTTGACGCGTAGGCTTCGCGCGTGCACGAACGCGCCCATGCTGGAATGTCACGAGTGTGTTGGCTCATATTTACCTTGTACACTGAAGCTCAGTGTAGGCTACTTTAAAGTTATACACACACACACACACACACACACTGTTGGGTTATTAGCCTACTATGTTACAGACATTGTCTTTTTCAGCTATCTTTTGGGGTCAATTTGGCAAATTATACAATTTAGTTTATTTATTTACTTCTGTGTGGAGAATGTCGTACCCACAAGGAATGTTTTCCATCAGCAAACCCTGGATTACTCCTGAGATTAAGAACCCCCCTTAAGGAAAAGAAGAGGGCATTTAGGTCAGGTGACAAGGAGGAGCTGGGGAAAATAGATATAGGATAAAAAATGGAGGATCAGTTGCAGCAGAAAAACATCAGCAAGGTCTGGAGGGGACTCAAAATGTCTGGCCACAAGGTACCCAACTCCCAGCCTGTAGGGGACCAAAACTGGGTGAATGATCTGAACTCATCCTTCAACAGATTTGATCGGCCATCCTCCCCTCCCCCCTGCCAAGTCCTTCCTGCTGCTGCAACCCCCATCGCTTGCACCCTCTGTGACTTGATCCACCTCCACCCCCACTCCCACAACATTCAGCTCCCTTCCACCCTGCACCTACACTGCACTTCCTGTCCAGACTAGCTGTGTCCTGGAATGCCCACTGGATCCAGAGGAAGTGGTGGGAGAGAGGAGAATAATGGCCAAGCTATCATCCCTGATGGAGAACATCTCCCACCCCATGCAGGACCCTCTATCAGCTCTGTGCAGCTCCTTCAGTGACCGGCTGCTTCACCCGCGGTGTGTGAAGGAGAGATACCGCAGGTCCTTCCTTCCTGCCACTGTCGGTCTGCACAACCAACACTGCTCTAAATAGACCACACATACCATATAAAAACCCTGCAAATTACTTATTCATTCATTCATTCATGTGCAATATCAATGTATGTATGTGCAATATAAACACTTCATTTATACTACCTCATATGTCCAATAATGTGTATCCAACCACTCAATCTGATTATATTGTATTTTTAGATTTTGTAGTTTTTTTGTGATGTACTACTATACCTTAACTGTATTATTGTACTTGTTTTGTTTTATACTGATGTCTCTTGTTGCACTGTCCACTTTGCTGCTGTAATTCTGCAAATGTGCCCACTGTGGGACTAATAAAGGATTATTTTATCATCTTATTTTATCTTATCTTCTCTTATCTTATGTTTAGATTAGATCAGTAGTGGAAGCAGTATTTAGATCCTGTACTTAAGTAAAAATACTATTACCACACCGTGAAAATACTTAATTTACAAGTAAAAGTTCTGCATTCAAATCCTTACTCAAGTAAAATGTATTAAAAACATCAATAGTAAAAGTACTCATTGCAGTAAAATGTTATTATTATTACTTTTATAATTACTTACATATTCAATGCAGATCTTTACTTGTAAAGGAGTATATACGGTGAGGTATTAGTACTTTTACTGAAGTATAGGTTCTGAATACTTCCTGCAACTGAATGTAATACTGGAACGATCATACTGCATAATAAACACGTTTACTTTTGAGACTTTAAATAATTTTACTTGTAGAGACTAATTACTTTCTTGTGCCAAAAAACAAATACTCTACGTATTTTACAAAACAATTAACGAGTTGAAATGTGGAAACTATGTACCTATTCAAGTTGGTTGCGATCCGCCAATCAAATTAGAGAAGAAGAAGAAGAAGAAGAAGAGACGGAAGTCCGGCTTTAACACACTTCCGGTCTCAGAGTCGAACAACCACCACCAAAATGGCGAAGATCGCCAAAACGCACGAAGGTAATTTTTGCACAAAATAAACTAAATAGCTCTTGTTTTCGGATTACTTTTCATCATATTATGTGTCAAGACACTATGTAGTAAATGTTGAAGTATTTGGAGCACGTTCTGATGTATTCGTTTGTTTGAAAGCGCGAGACGCAGTAGGCCGTGATAAAGACGCAACGCGGACGGCTTAGATAATGGCGCTGGTTAGCTAGCTAGCATGCTAGTTAGCTACCGTCACCGTGAAAGATGAGTCCTTTAGTTAAGGATATATATGTAACTTCACCACCTGACTTATCGACGTGCTCATATCAACATTCAAGCATACGTTGTAGTGCATTACTACCTCTAGTTGATCACTGTATTTATTTGGATATTATAATATGGGTATTATTTGGCTAACCCAGTTAGCAGTAGCTTCATTTTGACAACACCGCTCGACCACACGTTACATAATGGTTAAGTAAAACATTTAAGTAGCCCGCTTAGTGTAGAAAAATGTCCTTGTGACTGTTTCACTATTTTATGTTATATTTATTATAGTATTGCTCATGCATTAATGTGAACGCAGTATTTTACCGTTATGTTTGTTTGCTGAGGTGAAGCTCGATTCTAACCATTGTGTATACAGATTGCAACCAATATACTTACAAAAATCTTAATCCGGAAATTAATTCAGGCGTTCAGATAAATGTGGTGGAGGAAAAAGTACATTTCCCTCTGAGATGTGGAGTAGAAGTAGAAAGTGGAATGAAAAGACTCAAGTAAAGCACAAGTACCTCAAATGTGTACTCAAGTACATTACGTGAGTACTTGCATTCCACCACTGCGTGCAAGTAATGAGTCTTAAACACAGATAATCATATTTTGCCAGTTGTGTTAATTCTCATCCTCTGTTTGTCTTTCGTGTCTCTGTAGATATCGAGGCCCAGATCCTGGAGATCCAGGGGATGAAGGCCACCCTGCTGGAGGAAGGAGATCAGGGAGTGGGCCTCGATTCCACCGGCTTTTTTGACCAGGAGATCTATGGAGGCAGCGACAGCCGCTTTGCTGGATATGTCACTTCCATCGCCGCCAATGAGCAGGAAGATGTAAGTATTTTCATACCCAGTATTCAGATCCTTTACTCAGTAAGCACTAAAGTACAATACTTACATAGTACAACAATGTTATTGATACTTTTTTAATTTTTACTTCAATTATATTGTAATTCCACAGTTTTTTTTGGGGAGCTTGGCTGCTCCTCTTTGCATATGAGCTAGGAGAGTCTTGCCGTTTTGGTGAGATTTGACTAGACTCCTGTTTCTCTTTCCTTCCTCAGGATGATGAAGAGGATTCGTCAACAAGCTTATTGGGACAAAAGAAGCCAGGGTACCATGCACCAGTGGCAATACTCAATGCCATTCCTCAGTCAGACGAGCAAGTATGTGTTGATTCATTGTGTCTCGAATATCATATTTTCATCCCCGTGTTCTTTGAAACAGGCCTTTTTACTTTCCAGTTTTTAAATAAACTTACACCCTGTCCTTGTTTTGCAGTACGACCCATTTGCAGAGCATCGTCCGCAGAAGATCGCAGAGCGGGAAGATGAATACAAAGCCCGGCGCAGACAGATGATCATCTCACCCGAGCGTCTCGACCCTTTTGCAGACGGTAAATTTAGCTATTTTTTGACTTCATTACACCTTCCCCATTTCCTCCCCCCTTTTCATGGTTCACTTTTTTGTGACCCCCATGACTGCCAATGGTTTTACACCCATAGTTTTTCTGTTTTAACCCTTCGACTACAATGCAATAGCTTGCCTCCCAGACTTGATTCCTTCCCCGTGGTCAAGCCTCTGTGGTCCAAGAACATTTTGTGTCATTGTGCGTTTTCTTCCTGATATATTTATGATCTACATTTGTATCGACTTCCAACTTTACAGCAAATGACAGTGTGGGCTCAAAGTTTATCTTCAGTATTCTGGTTTGGAAAAATATTTCCATGATATTTCTGTGCAAAATGAAATTTGTATCCTTGTGCGTGCAATAAAATATAGTGAAACCCACTGTGGGGTTACCATGCTTTTCAATGGGAGAGGTGGTTAGGTGTTCAAAGGGCTTATTCACCTAACAAACGTGGGTCGCAGATGGGTTGTGTGTGAGTCGAAGGGTTAACATTCCCATGTGAGCAACAGCCTAACTTATCTTGGTAAAGGGCAGTCGCCTTCTTGTCGTAGCCTGTGAGGATTCAGAGAAAGTTTGCTTTGCCATGCTGAGCTCAGAAACTGATGACCAACAACATCCTGCTTATGTATAGACAGAGCTTTAGATCACAAGGCAGGCAGTGGAGAGAAATAGGCTTGGTCAGCTCAGGATCCTTTGGGTTATATAATACATACAAGTCATAATCAGGCCTAATTTGTCTTCCCAGTTTCACTTTGTCAGGGCTGTAATTTTAACGTCCTGTGGTAACGTAACTACCTCTTTTGGCTTGTCAGATGTAAAAGATCCGTGGGCTTCAGCACAACACGTTAGTGCAGCCAGCTTTTCTTACAGATCTCATTATTAGGGTTTAGTTTGTCTCTTTTTACAAGAGCCAGCTAGTTTATCTTTCTCCATTTTTATTGCATCTTCACTTCCACTGACAACGTGAGCTTAAATGGCCCGAGTGCTTCAGGGTTGGTCTAGGTAGGACTCAACTGAAGCCTGCATGTAGAGAGAGTTCTTTGTACAAAGTTGTTGTGTAAATATATTTTTATTTTACAACTCTCTCTGTAAAATAGAAATATGTTATCAAGAAAAATTGTGTACCACAATACCACAGGCCCATACTAACTGTCCTTAATTTCTCTCCTACAGCAGTACTGCTTTGCCAGTCCTGTACTGCACTCTGTTAAGGGTGCAGCAACTCATCCTGTGTAGGTTATGGGGAACACAGAGAACTGTGCACTTATCAGTTTGGTCAGGGTCCACTGGCTACAACAAACCTCAACCCCAAAGTTTTTCTTTTTTATTTGGCTTATCAATTTCCTTCAAATTTAGATCAAACTTCCCCCGCATTCATGATGGAAAATCACTGCCCAAATATTTGACTCTATATCTCATCCTTATTGAATCAGTCCGCTTTGTCCTCAAAGGGAAGTCCGGATCTGAATGTGAGATTATTGGATAATTACAGGGCTGCTGTGACGTGTAAATGGGGCTCTGGCATGTCCTATCGCCATACTTCTGATAGTTAGGATGATTATTTTTTTGCCTCATTTTTAAATTAGAATGCCAGAATAGATGCTCATATATTTAATGTTAATGTCATTCCTAGATGTAGCCTCAACATTTTCATATGCTAGTATAAAGAATTGGGAATCTGGACCACATGATCTCCTTATGATTTTTTTCTTTTTCTAGTTTAGTGGTTATGCCCCAAGAAGATACTTTGTTTTTTGAGTGCCGTAAATCAATGCAACACAGGTGGTATACTGTTGTGTGTGAGTTCAAACCCTTTTCCAAAGTGTTACTAATGGTAAAGAGACATTTTCTAGGCTTCTTTTCTGCCGGTTGAAGTCTGACTGCAGAGGGACCATGGCACTGAAAGTGTACGTATTCTGAAGAGCACAGCCCAGGACCCCTGCATCAGTGATGGCTATACCGTCTTAATCCACTTAAAGAAAACACCACAACCACAGCTCTTCTCTCTATGTATCTGCTTGTTTTACAATAGAATGCTATGACTGTATGTAAGAAAAGACAAATGTATATTTGTATGTAATTCAGTAGGACTGTTTTGTGAATCAGCTGTTTATAACAACAGGAGCGTAAGTTAATCTGTTGGTAAAGAGAGTCAGGGTTAGCTGGCTGTGTTTGTGCTTGTTGTGTTTGTAGTAACTTGGGTCCCTAGAGCGAATACTGATCAGTGTCCTATGTTCTTGTTGGTGCTCTTTCGCGCAGGGGGCAAAACGCCGGACCCCAAGCTGCAGGTCAGGTCGTACGTGGACGTCATGTTGGAGCAAAACCTGTCCAAAGAGGAGGTGAGCGACTACCCGCTGTTTACTTTGACTGCAAGCTATTTCCACATATCAATCATATGAAGTTGTCGTCCTTTGTAGAAGCCTGTGTTTCTTTTTTTCCTGACGTTTGTTCTTTTGTTGCGTGTAGAGGGAGATCCGTCTGCAGCTGATAGAGAAGGCCAAAGCCGGGGAGCTGAAAGTCGTCAACGGGTCCGCTGCCTCCCAGGCTGCTGCTGCAAAACGTAAGCGTCGCTGGGACCAGACTGCTGACCAGACCCCCACTAATACTACACCCAAAAAGATGTCCAGCTGGGACCAGGCTGACTCCTCTGCTGAGGTGAGCCATTAGAGTTTCAGCCTCTTACTGCTTTATGGATAACTTAAGCTTCTTGTAGTGGGTACAAATATTCAGGTTACTTCCTTGTAAGTACTCGGTATAATGTAACTTGTAATATGGGACAACTATTTAGAAGTTGTATTATTGTCTCAAACATGTTTTAAATCTCAGATTGTCTTTGTTTCTGGCCCCTTGTAGACACCAGGACACACCCCAGGACACACCCCCGCACACACACCCTCAAGCACCCGATGGGATGAAACCCCTGGGCGTGCTAAGGGCAGTGAGACCCCAGGGGCCACTCCCAGTACCCGCATGTGGGACCCCACTCCCAGTCACACACCAGCTGGCGCTGCCACCCCTGGCAGGGGGGACACGCCCGGCCACGCCACGCCTGGCCACGGTGGAGCCACAGGAAGCGTACGCAAGAACCGCTGGGACGAAACCCCAAAGACGGAGCGGGAGACCCCGGGACACGGGAGTGGCTGGGCTGAAACGCCGCGCACAGACAGAGGAGACGAGTCGGTGGGCGAGACTCCAACCCCAGGGGCCAGTAAGAGGAAGTCTCGGTGGGATGAAACCCCGGCCAGTCAGATGGGATCCTCTACACCACTACTGACACCAGGAAAAACTCCCATAGGAACGCCAGCTATGAACATGGCCACCCCAACACCAGGCAAGAAAGCTTTTTTTCTCCTTATACATTACCAAAGCTTCTAGTGTCTCATGTTCTGTAGTCTTTGTTTGTATTATGGAACAAAGGAACTATATTAGTCACAAGTATCCTTGAGCCCCTCAATGGTTTTGCTGTGTTTTAAAATCAGTTTGCTTTTCTGTTTTCTTCAGGTCACCTGATGAGCATGACTCCAGAGCAGCTGCAGGCGTGGAGGTGGGAGCGGGAGATCGATGAGAGGAACCGGCCCCTCACAGACGACGAGCTTGACGCCATGTTCCCAGAGGGATACAAGGTGCCCCCTTTTTATCGTGTTTAATGAGTAAATATAATTAAAAACGTAGTCGCATCACTGACAGTTTATTGTTTTTCTCCACAGGTTTTGCCTCCACCAGCGGGCTACGTGCCGATCCGCACTCCGGCCCGTAAGTTGTCAGCCACACCGACCCCCATCGGAGGCATGACGGGCTTCCACATGCAGGTGGAGGACCGCACCACCAAACAGATGAATGACCAGCCATCAGGAAACCTGCCCTTCCTCAAACCCGATGACATCCAGTACTTTGACAAACTTCTGGTGAGCATCAATTTTGTGCACACAACATACGTAAGATCAACCGCTGGGATGTTCGTCCCGTCTGAAGTTCAACGTGTGTGTTGATGGCTTGCTCCGTGTGTTTTTAGGTGGAGGTGGACGAGTCTACGCTGAGCCCTGAGGAGCAGAAAGAGAGGAAGATCATGAAGCTGCTGCTGAAGATTAAAAATGGAACACCGCCCATGAGGAAGGTTTGTCATTATTCCCTTACTTTAAGTGCTCATATGTCCTATATACTCCTTGTGTTCATGTCATAAATCTCCCAAAGAGCCTTGAAGTAGCATAAAGCACAACAACGGTACCTATTGCAAGATCCACACCCATCACTGAGCCTGTATGTGGCTGCAGTGTGAATATTTGCTTGCTAGATAATCTCCTCACTGAGGAGCTGCTGCTTTCAGTGGCGGTCAAGGTGTTGTTACTCATGCTCTGCTGGGAGCAGCAGACAGAAATCACGACATCTGTTGAGACTGAAGCCCGTCTGACTGACCGATCTCTATCCCCTCTCTCGTCTCCAGGCCGCTCTGCGTCAGATCACAGATAAAGCTCGTGAATTCGGAGCGGGTCCGCTGTTCAATCAGATCCTGCCGTTACTCATGTCGCCCACCCTGGAGGACCAGGAGCGCCACCTGTTGGTTAAAGTCATCGACCGCATCCTCTACAAACTGGATGACTTGGTTCGACCATACGTACACAAGGTAGGCTCGGAGTGAAAACCATCTGCGCTTATTTTCCGTGGATTGTGTGTGAAGAAATGAATTAACTGTCCTCTTTGTGTCCAGATCCTGGTGGTGATTGAGCCGCTGCTGATTGATGAGGACTACTATGCCAGAGTAGAAGGCAGAGAAATCATCTCTAACTTGGCGAAGGTAATGTTTTTACGCACGCTCCGCTTCCTGCGAACTATTCTCGCCTGTTTAACCAGTCCGTGGTTCAGATCAGGGCTAGACGTTCGCTAGATTAACACCAACACGAGAGCTATCAGACCTGACGTTCATGTCTCTTCTGTTCTCAACCTGCACCCGTTGGTTACAATCAGATACTCGTTTCCACTGTTTTGATATATAAAAATGTCGTTCTAAATATATGCAGACTGTTGAAATGTATATGAAATGCACCTGCACCAGGTTTGGCAGACTAGAGTGTACTTAGAATAAAATCAAGTACACGTTCTGTCAGTAAAAGACATCCGACTCAGATATTTGACGTTCCTCTTCTTCCCGTCTGCTCCAGGCTGCCGGTTTGGCGACCATGATCTCCACAATGCGACCCGATATCGACAACATGGACGAGTACGTGAGAAACACCACGGCCCGAGCCTTCGCCGTGGTGGCCTCCGCTCTCGGCATTCCCTCTCTCCTGCCGTTTCTCAAAGCTGTGTGTAAAAGCAAGAAGTCCTGGCAGGCACGGCACACGGGCATCAAGATCGTGCAGCAGATCGCCATCCTCATGGGCTGCGCCATTCTGCCCCACCTCCGCAGCTTGGTGGAGATTATCGAACACGGTCAGTCACGGTCGCATATAAAGGAGTTTGCAGATCCTTGTAGATTTAAACGGTTGATTGTTATCAAATGACAACCTTTACTGGACATTTTCTAAACTCTGTCATACTGAAATGTGTTCGCTCTCTGACGGTTGGGTTTGTCTGTGTTACTCCAGGTCTGGTAGATGAGCAGCAGAAGGTGAGGACCATCAGCGCTCTGGCTATCGCCGCCCTCGCTGAAGCTGCTACTCCCTACGGTATCGAGTCCTTCGACTCGGTCCTCAAGCCGCTCTGGAAGGGTATCAGACAGCACAGAGGAAAGGTGAGATGCTTTTGGAGGAAGGAACAAAGTATTTACTGCAAGATCCACACTTGGCGCTGAGCCTGCGTGTAGCCACAGTGTGAATATTTGCTTGTGATAAAATGTCAAAGGCGGGGCTGGAGATTTACATTTATTAAGGTCTACAAGCAACGAGCCGAGTTTGTATTCACAATGCATTTCTCCCTCTCTGCCACCAGGGTCTGGCTGCTTTCCTCAAAGCCATCGGTTACCTGATCCCACTGATGGACGCCGAGTACGCCAACTACTACACCAGAGAGGTGATGCTGATCCTCATCAGAGAGTTCCAGTCCCCCGATGAGGAGATGAAGAAGATTGTACTTAAGGTAATGGAGGGGAAGAATGACTTGTGTCTTAACTTCTGTAGCCAAAAACACCATGCGTCTACAAATGTCAGCTAACTTTCCTGCGACTCATTCTCGCCTGTTCAGCCACTACATGGTTGCGCCAGGGCTAGTACGTCGCTATATAAACACCAGCATGAGAACTAGCAGAGCTGTTACTTTCGTACTCTCTGTTCTCACCCTGCACCCGTTGGTCACATCTAGCTTCTCTACTTTTAGTCTGAACTCGTTAATGTTCCTTCTCTGACCTGAACTTGTGTTTTTTGTCTCATAGGTGGTGAAGCAGTGCTGTGGCACTGATGGTGTGGAAGCCAACTACATCAAGACTGAGATCCTGCCTCCCTTCTTCAAGCACTTCTGGCAGCACAGGATGGCTCTGGACAGACGCAACTACAGACAGGTGAGCAAGCACACGGGAGTTCATGTTCAACTAAAAACAAGTCTGAGATGTGGATGTTTTCCCTTTTTGTCGAGTCCCAAGATTAATAGAAATGGGATCTTGGTCTCTTGTTTGCTTTGAAGAAAACAGCTAATAGAAGATGTTAAGAAGTAAAAACAGCTTATTTGTGCTACACTTATACACATATAAAATGATTGTGATGTAAACTGCTTCCTGCAAACTATTCTCGCCTGTTCAACCAGTCCGTGGTTCAGATCAGGGCTAGTCGTTCGCTAGATTAACACCAACACGAGAGCTATCGGACCTGACGTTCATGTCTCGTCTGTTCTCAACCTGCACCCGTTGGTTACAATCGCATGTTCCATGCACAAGCTTCTGTGTTGATGTTTTTCATGGTGTGTTTGATGGAAATCAATCATTGTCACTGTTATAACGACTCTCATTCCTCTTAACTGTTGAGAGAAATGTATACTAGTGCACCTGTACCAGGGTCAGCAGACATGTACTTGAGTTGTGACACTTTTAATTGCCACTTTACTTGAGCCAAATACATGTTGAAATGAGATGTATTGCTGTGCCAGCGTGTCTCTTTTGCACACATCCCATGCATGTTTTCAAACCGTCTTTCCTCCCCAAACAGTTGGTGGACACCACAGTGGAGTTGGCCAACAAAGTGGGAGCGGCAGAGATCATTTCTCGCATCGTTGATGACCTGAAAGACGAGGCGGAGCAGTACAGAAAGATGGTGATGGAGACCATCGAGAAAATCATGGGCAACCTGGGTGCTGCTGACATCGACCACAAGCTGGAGGAGCAGCTGATCGACGGTATCCTGTATGCCTTCCAGGAGCAGACAACCGAGGTGAGATGGATACTTCAGATTCAAGTATAGGAAGAATCCCGTCTTTCACAGGAGTAGTTTATTCATTTCTGTCCCTTCTCGTTTCCCTACAGGACTCCGTCATGCTGAACGGTTTCGGCACAGTGGTGAACGCCCTCGGGAAGCGCGTGAAGCCCTACCTGCCTCAGATCTGCGGTACGGTGCTCTGGCGTCTCAACAACAAGTCCGCCAAAGTCCGTCAGCAGGCCGCTGACCTGATCTCCCGTACCGCTGTGGTGATGAAGACGTGCCAGGAGGTAAACTATGAACACACACACACACAAAGACAAATCCATTTCACTTATTTTAGAAACTAATGCATGTTCTGTTTGTCCGTGGCTGCAGGAGAAGCTGATGGGTCACTTGGGTGTGGTGCTGTATGAGTACCTGGGAGAGGAGTACCCGGAGGTTTTGGGTAGCATCCTGGGAGCACTGAAGGCCATCGTCAACGTTATCGGTACGTCTCACTACATCAACTACATTTACACTTATAAACCATGTAATTCAGATTGCAGGGTTTAAAGGGAAACCTGTTAATAGCTATTGGATGTTTTTTCTTGTCATTGCAGGTATGCACAAGATGACTCCGCCCATCAAAGACCTGCTTCCTCGTTTGACTCCCATCCTGAAGAACAGACACGAGAAAGTGCAGGAGAACTGCATCGACCTGGTGGGCCGGATCGCTGACAGGTCGGTAGCATAAAGGCTCAGATTGACGTGATATGTCGTGTGTTATTATTATTAGTAGTATACGTGTGCTAATGTCTTGTGTATATTTCAGGGGGGCTGAATATGTGTCGGCCAGGGAATGGATGAGGATTTGTTTTGAGCTGCTGGAGCTGCTGAAAGCTCACAAAAAAGCCATCCGCAGAGCTACCGTCAACACGTTCGGTTACATCGCCAAAGCCATCGGGTGAGTGCTCGAGAGCTTCATCAACACCAAATATGCATTTATGTTACTTCAATTGTCTCTGTTCACGGTGTCGGCTTAAAGTCTTTTCAATACATTTGGTTAGATTGCTGGAAAGTACTGAAAAAAGTGAAATAATTAAAGAAATGAAGGTCTTATAGTCCCTACTGGTATTCCATCACACTTTTATGCTTTGTATGATAATTAAATGGTTATTAAAGTGCATTTTATATGCTGTTAAAAGCTTTAACTTGATGATGCCTGCAGAAACCCTGTAACAGTCTAAGTTTATATTTAAATGAATCAAACGGTTCCCCGTGTCTCTACAAATGTAAACTAATGGACACTTTGCCCTCCTCTCCTCTCAGCCCCCACGATGTCTTGGCCACTCTGCTCAACAACCTGAAGGTCCAGGAGCGTCAGAACCGAGTCTGCACCACCGTGGCTATCGCCATCGTGGCCGAGACCTGTTCCCCGTTCACGGTGCTGCCAGCGCTCATGAACGAGTACCGCGTGCCGGAGCTCAACGTGCAGAACGGCGTTCTCAAGTCGCTCTCCTTCCTGTTCGAGTACATCGGTGAAATGGGCAAGGACTACATCTACGCCGTCACACCGCTGCTGGAGGACGCGCTCATGGACAGGTGAGTGAAGACTAGGGTTTCTGTGTTTATCACTTAAATAGACACCTAGCTTCTGGTTTCTAAGTTTTGATTTACTTCCACCAATAACCGTTGACCCTGTACATGTGTCCTCCTACAGAGACCTGGTCCACAGACAGACGGCCAGTGCGGTAGTCCAGCACATGTCTCTGGGCGTCTACGGCTTCGGCTGCGAGGACTCCCTCAACCACTTGCTGAACTACGTGTGGCCCAACGTGTTTGAGACGTCGCCGCATGTGATCCAGGCCGTCATGGGCGCCCTGGAGGGGCTGCGGGTCGCCATCGGGCCCTGCCGCATGCTGCAGTACTGCTTACAGGTGAGAACGACCTGGACGCTCACGGAGAAAGATTTAACAACCACAAGAACTCCGCTTACATAGCCATCCGTCAACCCTATACCCTCGGAATAATACAAATATGAGAAATTGCTCAATGAATTGTCTAAAATGCTTCTCTGAGGAAGGCAATATGTTGGAAAAGCGTAACATTTTTGGCTGTCGGGGAGCAACGTGACCGTGAACTCGTCCATCTGAAGTGCTGGATTAGTGATGGTTGTAACAAATAATAAAAAACAAAATAGTTAAAGTGAATACGCCTCTTATTATTGTATTTCTTGTCTCTCCAGGGTTTGTTCCATCCGGCCAGGAAGGTGCGAGACGTCTACTGGAAGATTTACAACTCCATCTACATCGGCTCCCAGGACGCCCTCATCGCTCACTACCCACAAGTCTACAACGACGACAAGAACATGTACGTCCGCTACGAGCTGGATTACGCCTTGTAAATACGAATTCACGCGCTCTCCGCTTCACTCTCCATTGTCGTCCCTGGTCTCTGTCTAGGACCGAGTCCGTTTCTATTTAGCAACAGTGATGTTTCCCAGGGTGCAACAGTCCAACACTGGCTGCATTCAGCCTCTGTTTGATGCCACTTTATTGACCCTGAATTAAAGAATGAGCATGACGTTAGGAGGAACAAGAGGAACATTGTAAGAGTCTGTATGTAATTTTCTTTTCTTTTTTTACTCTTTGAGTGTTCACTGTAAGGAATGGCCGAGGTCAGACTAGCCTTGATTTGAAGAACGCAGAGCAAGTCGTCACGTTTTAAATATTTGGATTTTTTTTTGTTAGTGTGTAATTAGAGGCCTCTGTACCGGCTGCTCCCTTTACACACCTCTCCTCGTTCCACACCTCTGTTCTTATTAGGTTGTTGCTTTATTTAACCGAATAAAATGTTTGTGTATAAAAATCCAATTTCTGCGTCTCAATGAGTTTTTATTTTATTCATAGAACTTGAACTACATGGGAATATCGACATTTATACATGTTAACGTACGTTTTAATAGTTTTTTTTTGTTTTGTTTTTTTTTCAAAACTGAAGGCGAGACTCTCAGATTTTGTAGTATTTTGCTTCCATAACTTGTCTTCTTCAGAAGACAAGAAAACATCCAAAATACACATTTAGATGTTTATTTTACAAATTTGTCTATTTGCATCTGCAGATTTCTCCTATTTTACCAAAAGTCACCATTAGATAACGCCTCATTTACATATTTAAACAAACATTTTCAGAAAACATGTAATAACAAAGATTGTTGTCTTAATGTGAGTAATGAAGTGGTGAAGTTTCATGGTGACATCTGAGTTCATGTTTTGACCCTGTTCACCTGTAGAGTCTCTAAATGTCTGTAATGTAACTAAACGTCTCTTTAAAGGACGTTTTCTCTCAATGAGTTTGTTCTCAGACTCTGATCCAGAAATCGCCACTTCAGCGGCTCTTACATACCCCAAACTTTACACTTTCATTCCGCTCTGTGTGCGGAAGGTTAACACAGCATTCAGAGACTCATTTATACATTTATTAAAAATATGGAGGAAATGTGTTTCTATGGCTGTTGATGGTATTTTCTGAATTATGGAGAGGAACCCCCCCCCCGTAAAAACCTTTTGACTCTGTCAACAAAATGAAAACAATTTTGAAACTGGCTTCATCCAAAGATTTCTGTTCTGGAAATGTTTGCAAATAAGCAGATATATATAAAAAGAGAATCTCTTGAGGTTCAAACAAAATGTGGCAAATTGAGCTTCAATTCAGATTTTAAATTAAACACTTTCTGATTAATTTTCATATTGTATAGAGGTCATTTTTACTAATTTGTGTAATCTTATCTCCATCAATCAATTGGTTTATAATAGTTCTGAACATTGTGAGAAATGCCGTCACAATTACGTTGTGTTCTCCTGCTTATCGTCCTGCTGAGACACAAGCAGATAACGCCATAAGAGCGTGAGGGGGGGGGTGCTGGTTTAGGATGACCTCATCTCTCACATCTTACTGAACTAGGTCTGACATAATGGAGGCAGCACTAACACACTACATGCCACAGTCTCCTTCTATAAACTCTGCTCTCTGGAACTTTTAATATTTCAAATGCACAAGAGTTGTACGCTGGTGGAATATAATTACATGCGTTTCTCAAGTACCGCACGAAGTACAATCTTGAGGAACTTGTAATTTACTTGTACTCCCCTTTTCTGCTACTTTATTATTCTGCTCCACGACATCTCGGAGGGAAATGTTGAACTTTTTACTGCAATATATAACTTCAGTTACTTTGCAGATTCAGATTAATAATATAATAAATAATCAACTAATAAATTATGATGTATTACAGATTACTGTACGCAAACCAGCAGTATTACAGTTAATAAAACGTGTTTTTTATTAAATAAGACGTTTTGCATGCTTTTAAGTTTTGGTACATTTTGATGCTAATACTTTACGTAACAGTATTTTTAGACAGATGGCGGCTGGCAGTAACATGTTGCCCTTTACGTCTCAGCTTCCTGCAGTTTCACAAGCGCGTCGGAGAACTACGGTGGCCTTCAGGTACCATAAACAAGTGAAAGGTTATTAGTGTTTGGTTTGTCCGTTCTGGGCTGCCGTAGAAACATGGCGGACTTCGTGAAGAGTATCCGTTCTTAGTTCTTAATTCTACTGTAATACTTCTTATTTTTAGTTCATTATAAACTAATGAAAACACAGTTATGAATATTATATTTGATTTCCGCAAATAGACACTGGCCCTCAAACACATAAGCAGCATTTTAAAAGCACATTTTGACTACTTTATATACTGTTGGGTAGATACATCTAGAGATTATCATATTTTATGAATTAAATGTTTTGTTAACAAAATATTGATCTGTAATTTAACAGCTGGTCAATGTAGTGGAGTAAAAGTACAATATTTCCTTCAGAATTGTAGTGGAGCAGAAGTGTAAATTAGCATTAAATTGAAACACGAGTAAAGTAAAGTACCTTACATTTGTACTCATAAACAGTACTTGAGTGTAGTTATTTACTTTCCACTACTGCGTTGGCAGTTCCATTTCAAACGGGGGACCAGGCAGGGGCCACATTAATATTTAAGATTAAAGTATACTCATTCAGTATTAACGTACATTTTATTCATCACTGCACATGCATAACTAATTACCATCATTGCACCACATCCAGTGTTGACCCCTCCATCACATAGCTGAGGAATAAATTGGGAACTCACTTGGACTAAAAAAAAAAAAAGCATGCATGAATGCTTATAGACTCACAATGGAAAAAAACCTTCCCCACTCTCCCTCCCTCCCTTCCATTCACTCACCACTGCTGCACTGCCAGCTTCATGTGCTCTGACCCAGATTCCCCCCCAGAATATGGGTCTGCTAATCTGAGAAGGAAGTCTCTGTGTCTGTGTGTGTCTGTGTGTGTCTGTGTGTGTGTGTGTGTGTGTGTGTGTGTGTGTGTGTGTGTGTACATTTGGGACTTATTTATGGCTCACAGTTAGTCACATTTGGTTGAGCACCAGTTCATCTGACCCGGTGATGTGTTCCTGCTGCTGCGTGTGGTTTTGCTTTGGGGCTAATTTGTTGAATGCTTGTATTTATCGTGTGATGATTGTGGCTCTGTGCAGGCAGTGCTAAACGCTAACGTTGCTCACAATTACAGCGCTAACATGCTGATGTTTAAACCATGTTTAAACCATGTTCAGCATGCTAACTGTTGTTAATCAGCACTAAACACAAAGGGAGTGTCATTAGTTTTGCAGGTATTTGTTGGAAGTATTGGACAAACTGGAAAAACACCCTGAACTGGAAAGTTTTGATGTTTTTATCTTCCAGACACAATAAGGAGCCTCTTCCGTTTCCTTCCCTGATAACCTTTGGAATGCATCTTCATGAAGACCATAAAAAATGCATGGTGGTGTCTCTGCTGCTGTGTCTGTGTGTGTGTGTGTGTGTGTGAATGTTGAGTCAACACTGGGAGGTAACCCGCCCCCGGAGGGGGAGATGACTGTGATTAGAAATGTTTCCGCAGTGAAACATTGTGTACATGAAGTGACATGAACAGTGATGTAGTAGGATAATAAACGGAGCGTGTAGGATGGTGATGATGATGATGATGACGGAGAGCAACACAATTTAAAAAGCTTTAATTTACTTCACTCTTAAAGGGCCATTCTTGTGATCACATTAAATAAAGTGCACTTTAAATGACTTGTGTTTTACATGTTTAATAACCCTTTAATTCAGCAGCCATTAGCTTCCAACAATTTCTGACTTGAAAATCTGATCATTGCCAGCTTACAATCATTTCATAAGAGGAAGGTTGTGGGTTTTCTGATGGTGAAAGAAAATTAAAGATTTCAAAAGAATTTAGTGTCATTTAGCTTCATCTGTTCAGGAAATGAATAATACTTGATCAATTTGTTATTAGATGTAAATGTGTATACATGTGTACACCTAAATGCATACGAGTGTTTCCTTATGTCTTCTATGTGTAATCATGCATGCGTTCTCTTATTAAATATGTGCTAGTTTTCATACATTTCAAGAGCAGAAATAAAAAGTAAAATAAACATCTGAATGTGTATTTTGGATGTTTTCTCTCCACTAGTCTGAAAGAAGAAATGTTATGGAAGCAAAATACTACAAAATCTCAAAACCGATCAGTGCATGAAACCCGTGGTGTCTCACCTTAAGGGGCTAAAACATGCAAACATATATATTCCCCTTTAAAACAGATATAGTTTGCATGCAGTGATGTGTGCTGACGTTTGTATTACTTTTGACAGCTGCAGCTTACAATGCGTCGGTCCCTCCGTGTCCACTGGAAGGCAGCAGCGAGGAGGTGCCGGTTGTTGTTGATGCTGAGGAAGCAGCTCCTCCACTTCTGCATCTGAGAGGAGGAGAGACGAGCTCCAACTTCCTGTGTGTGTGTGTGTGTGTGTGTGTGCGCGAGAGAGAGAGATCCTCCGCTACAAGCCGAGTTCAGCCTGGCTGCCTCTCCGGGAGGCTTGTGTGGCTTCTGCAGAACCGGGTTGAGGAGGGGAGCCTTCTGTGGATGGTGTATGGCCTCGGAGAGACGCCTGGGAGCCCCGTGCACCACTAGCAGCAGCAGCGGCCATACATGTGGATTGTTTTGGGTCAAACCGTTCCTGCTTCACCCCTCCACCTCCTCCTCCTTCTCCGAGCGGCCGCTTCGGCTCGGCAGCGTTCGCCGCAGATAGCGTGAGGGGAGCCGGCCTTCGTCTACCACATCACCCGCTACGAGAAGAAGCCGCTACGAGCTGCACCGTGCATGGTGCTGCGGGGTCGGAGGGAGTGGATGAACCAGCCGGAGCTGACCCAGAGATGGCTGTCCTCAAACTGGCCGACCAGGTAGACCTGCTAGCTGTTAGCTTAGCATCTTAAACAGGCATCACCGTTTGACGCTTCACCCCACAGCTGTTTGCGATAAGAATTCTATATATTTATACATTTTTAATGTCTTTGTGTCGCCACTTTGGGGTCAGCTGAGAGAAAATATACGTTTTTTTTAAATTCCTGCAGACTGAACACAGAATACATTCATAAAGCTGCACAAACGTTTAATACCCTGATTTTTTTCTGATTTTTTTTTTATGGCTTTAGTCGGTAAAATTGTCTGTGTTCCGTTAAAATTAGGACAGCCCACTTCACTCACACTTCCTGCTCTGTCTCCTTCCGCAAAGCATCAGAGCTGCAAACTGCAAACATGCTCCATAAAGAAGATTCATCTGCAACTAAAAGCACATTCGTGTGCTGCAAAAATGTGCGACAGACCTCTAAATGCATAACAAGAAAACTATTTCTGATAAGATTTCAATCCAAGGAGACATTTTAGAGAAACAATCTCGCCTCAAGGTCTATTTAGTAGCTGCTCTGGAGCTTTTGATTTGGTCACATGATGCTCCTCAGCTGATTTTGAATCACATATGTCACACTAACATGAACAGGAAGTCTTCAAAGTGTGCACAACCTTTGTTAGATTTAAACATCTCTGTTGTCTGGTGGTGTGACACGGTTGAAAGCTCCAGAGCCGTTACTAAATGCATCTTATCGCCAAGATTGTTGACTCAGGGTCAATACTGTCAAGATCACATATCTGAGATTAGATTTAGTGCAGGGCCGCAACTAACGATTGTTCCCATTCTGCAATAATTCATATGCATTTATATTTTTCTCTCAAATCAATGAATTGCTTAGTTCACAAAATATCAGAAAATAGTGAGAAATTGACAAATTGTTGCAGCTTTAACTTGCTGTGTCATGCCATGACTTTTAGTTTTGGTGATGTACAGTAATGGAGGACTTTTAAAGTAAAAGTACTTGTATCACACTGTGAAAATACTCCACTGCAAGTACATGTCCTGCATTTAAAACCTTACAAAGTATGTATCAGCAGAATGTACTTAAAGTACTTAAAGTAAAGTATTCATAGTGCAGTAAAGTGTTCCCTGTCAGTACTTTACTATCATATTACTGCTGCATTAATGTGTATGTTGCATTTTAACTCCTTTATGTCCTGTTGTCTAGTTTAATCTACATCAATGCATCGTATTCTATAAGATCATCATGTTTGTAGCGTCTCTGTCCTGTGAGAACCTCGTATCTCTACAAAGAACAGCCTGTTTTCAGCTCAGTGACGAGGCTTTTTCCAGCTGATCCAAGAGACTTTAAAAGAGTTTATTAACATTAAGAAGTAGTACGAACTTAAAGGAAACACTTCATCCTTCAGTTCATCGCGAATATTCAACACCAACTCATCTGGAGATACGTGGTTTTCACTGGACAGGAATCTGTAAAGCAACTAAAGCTGTCAGACAAATGTAGTGGAGTAAAATGTACTATATTTGCCTCTGAGGTGTAGTGAAGTACAAGTATAAAGTTACGTAGACTGGAAGTAGTCAAGTATAAGTGCCTCATAATTGCACTGAAGTGCAGTACTTGAGCATCTGAAGAGAAAGGAGTGAAATGAAAATCAAACGTGCGGGTAGATCGTCGCTCCAGTCGTATCAGATCTGTCGTTGACTTCAAGGGAGGGAAGAACAGTCTTTTCATTATGTAACTCCGAACTTTGGGACTTCCTGTTTTCAGACAACATGCCGATGATGATGATGATGATGATAACTCGATGAACTCAGCTCAGCAGACAGCTCAGTGGCTTATAGATTATTTTTTCATCATGTGCTGATGAAGAGATAGTCACATGAAAATCTGCTGTTTTTTAAAGAGTATTTATGCTCAGCTGGTTACTGTTACTGGGAGGTACAGATGTAAAGCTCGAAGTGGGTTTCGTGCAGCTCTGATGTCTGCAGTCTTTATATATAAACACAAACTGCTGACGTGTGTTTAAGTACATTTACTGCCGTACTTTACTTGAGTACTTTACTACTTTAAACATTTTGGGGGCAAATATTGTACTTTTTACTCCAACACATTTTTCTGACAGCTATAGTTACTTTGCAGATTTCGATTATCAGCACACAACTAATAAATGATGATGTAATCAAGTTTTCTCTCAATATAACTGTGCATTGTACAGTGAAATGCTTTGTTGCTCCCTCTAGTACTGTGCGTGACACACAAAGTACAATATATACAAGAAAGAAAATGAATGCATGAACAACGTAGAAAATATGTTAAATAAAATATTAAATACAGTCGTAAATATAATGCAGATAATATAATATAATAGATTAAGCTGCCTAGTAGCATATAAAGTAATAAAAATGAGCTCCAGCTGCAGCATTAAATTTAAGTTTAAGTTTATTAAGTGATAAAGGCATTAATGCATCAGTAATTATAATACAGTCATATAGAATATATGACTAATAATAATGAGCCATTCTGCTTGATGATACTTTGGTACTTTAAGTGTATTTTGATGCTAACACTTTTGTATTTTTGTAATGGCTTGAATGCAGGACCGAGTATTTCTACACTGTAGTATTGATGCTACTTTTACTTAAGTAAAAGATCTGAGTACTTCTTCTTCCACTGATTTTCTCTTGTATGAAATTATATATATATATAAAATGTATACTGAATGGCTTTTTTGGGGGTAGAAACATCATTTTTCCACCAAACAGAACACACAGGAAGCACAGGAAGTTGTTGACTTTTGACTTTCTGCACGCGAGTGTGTCTCTGTCGTGGATGTGTCAGATTTCCTGTGTTTTTTTTCCTCCTCCATCCTGGTTTTTGACTTTGGTTTTTCTTTATTGTCTCCTGTGTCGACAGGTGAAACATTCAGTTTGAGAGGGAGGCTGAGGGGAATAATAACGTGCAGAAATAGTGGTTGTATCACTTCACTGTTTAGCAGGACATCAGAAGTGTGTCGTTGACCCCGAGGGGAAGGAGACGAGCCAGTTAGAGGCCTCGGTCACCCCAGGGGTCAGAGTAGGAGATGTGTGTGTATGTGTGCTTTGGACATGACGTTTATGTGTTGCAGGTGAGCCTGTGTGTGTTTGTAATGAAAACAGAGGTGATCTGATGGAGGAAGTTTGTGTCGGATAAAAAAAGAAAGAGAGAATGGAAGATAGGAGAGGAAATCTGTCTGTTCTTCTAGGTCCTGATTGAGTTCCTTAAAGAACAGGATCTCACAAAATAATGATCACGACCCCCACGACTCCCAGACATTCACATGCACTATCAATCATATAGAGCTTTAATAGCCAAATACAAAAGAACAATAGCCTAACAACCATAAATATTTCATTGTCGTAATCAGCTCGGGTTGAATAAAATCGGTCATATTAAATTTATGTATATTTACATTTATTTATAACCATGTCGCTGACACAATTATGTTTAAAATATACAGTTTTGAATCGAGAGGTACGGGAGTACCAGAAGCAGACCCTGCTGCAGTAGAATGAGAGGTCCTGGTGCTAGGACGCACTACCTCTTTCGTCCACAGGGACCGCCAAAACCAACACAAAACTAAAGTTCCTCGTAGTAGCTTTAACAGGAGTATTTGTATTTGTGCTACTTTATACTTAATACTACATTTCAGAGGAAATATTCCACTTTTTTAACCTAAATAAAATGTTAATAAAGCCGGGGAGGGTGTTGTTTTTGTTGTTATTTTTATAAAATGAATGATAAGATTCAGCCCCATACGTGTTTAACAGTCATTTTCAAACAGTCCATTATTACCAGACCCCTTCAATGAAGTTAGCTGTGACATGCTAACTTTTAGCTGTGGAAGTAATGTTGGTACAAATGTACTTTATAACTTTTGTTCGGTGATTTTTGTCGTAAAGGCTAGTAATTAAGCTTTCATTATGAAATCACTGTCGTATTATTAATTATTATGCTAAGTGCTCAACTCTTAAATATACCAGCCCCACGCATATTTCTGTTATGTCTTCGGTTGATCGTTGCCAACTGTTAACGCCAAAACAAATACTGGCTGATGTATCAGATTCTTATTCTGCTTAAATATTTATCGGCCTTGGGAAACCCCCCCCGCTGTTGGTCGGTGTCTAGGTGCTGGTATGTGTTCGAGGAAATGCTCTCATTCATGCTCACTGTCCCTAAATCTCCTTCCCTCCCTGTGCCAGCACCAGCCTCCCCGAGTCCCCTTGGTGATCACAGACTCAGCACTGTGACAAGGGACCGCTGCCAGCTGAGTTTTAGTGCGTACGGACGTGAGTGTGTGTTTGCGAGTGCATGTGGAGCGCTTAGAAAAAGAAAGGCATAGCTAAAGAGGCCATATGCTGCCAAGCATTGGCTGCTTATTTAAAGGCACAGCCCCCACTTTTCTGCTCTCCAGCTGGGGCCTCTTTCACTGCTCTCTCTACCCTGAACGTGTCCTTCCTCCAGCCTCGTATCACTCTGCTCAAGTAAACACTGATTAGACCTCCATCACTACTTCACAGCTTTCAATTTGTCAGATTTTTTTTATTGTCGTTATATGAAACAGGATTGCACAATGAAATGTAGTAGTCGCACAGAAAAGGTATAAACAGATGGTCAAATATTTAAATTGGAATAGAAAATAAACAATAAAAGTAGCGCTCAAGGTAGAAACGAAGAAAGGAACACTGAAGTATATCTAAAATGGAATATATACAGTTACTCAGCGGTGGAATGAAAGTTTGAGGTACTTTCATTTTATGCTACTTTATACTTCTATTTTGCTACCTCTCAGAGTCAGATAGAGCGGAGAAGTCCCGCCCCTTCGGTGGACCGCCATGGGACCCTATTTCGGAAAAGTATATACAGCAGTCAATGGCGAAATAATCATACTTTTTTGATCCCGTATGAATTGAGCCATGAATTACAAATGTGATGTTTGTCCATTTAAAAGATAATTTTGCACGTATATGTAACAAAACCTATATCAGCTGCAACATGAAAGTGATCGACTCCTTCACTACATTTTCAAACATCTCCTGTCTGCCCTCATGCTTACCTGAGTGGTCTATGAAGTGACGATGTGGCTTCACACCAGAATCCAACGCAAAGGGAGGAGTGACAAAATAAAGCAGAGACGAGGAAGTGGTGTCACGTCGTTCATACTTTTTTTTGAAAGCAGAAGTGAAACGCTCCTCTGTGGTTCCTCTCGCTTGTTTCTGAGAAGGAGAGGCTGTGCAACAGGAAGTGAGGCAGGAGGCACACAGGAAGTGAAGTTAGCCTTATCTCTTTTAGATCTGACTCATCAGTGACACATTGAACCTGCAGCCTTCACGTTGGTCTCAAACACATGCAGCTAATTACACTCTTTACAGTGATTTATATTCTGTTGTATTACACTACATTTCACCTTTTTATGTCCCGTACTACATCATACTATACTGCACAACATTTACTATGTTATGTTAATGTCTCATACATTTTTATTGCATTGCATACTATATTAGATTTCCATATTAATACAGACAAACATATTATACATTTATTATATGATTATAAACGTACTGACTATCAATCGTATCACAACACTGTCACTTTTGCCTTATTATTATGTATTTAATTGCCCATGTATAGTTTTTATTTTTACTCCTATTTTAGTTTTTAATATACCTCTGAACTATTTATTTTTTACTTCTATATCAGAAGATTTTGCAAAATAATCTTAGGTTTTCAACATTTTATAAAAAAAAAACATGTATACATGTATGAACACCCAATATTCTAATAATATAAACCTATACACAATGATACAGTTTAAAAATGCATCAATAAAATTATCTCCCATTACATTAATAGTGAAATCGGTATTTATTTTAGTTTTATTTGACAGTATTTCCCTCTGAGATTTGGCGGAGTAGAAGTAGGAAGTGGCATGAAAAGAAAAGTTCGTCAAGTACAAATACCTCACATTTGTACGAAGGCTAAGTGCAGTACTTCAGTGAATGCACTTGCATTCCATCGCTGCTGACATGTTGGCTTCCCTCATGTTGCACTGAAAGTTATTATTATTTTACCCACGCTTTCTTCTGTTCCTGTAAAACCTGCAGTATACTGCTGATTGACACTGATAGCTGGTGTGTGTGTGTGTGTGTTCGTGTTCAGGGCCTCTATTTACCACCTATCTGATCTGGTAAAGAAAATAAGGGCTTCAGAGACATGACCTCCACGCAGTGCCCTTCATTATAGCCTTTTGTCTGTGCAGACATTTTATTTGTATGATTTGCATCTACAACTGTCTTCTATGACTCTCTGCAAACATCTTGGTCCTATCTTATTATAAGCAGCGAGTAACTGTAAAGAAATTAAAGAACATTTTTGTATACAGTTTATAGTAGGCTGCAGTCTTGAAGTAGCTCCAGCTTTTGTAAACACTGCAGCTTAAAGTCAAGCAGCTGCTCCTCCACACACACACGCACACACACACACACAGATATATACCATGGGAAGTATCGTGCCCGACCTCCTCTTGTGTAATGTCCAGGAAACATTCTCCCTAACACGTTGTTTCGTCACGTCGCCTCACTCTGATGAATTCCCCGAGTGTTTAAGTCGATCACGTGTATTTATGCACGTCTGACATGTTTGCGGCGTCTGGTCATGTTGTTGAATGTTCTCTCTTCTCTCCCCTCAGCCTCCTCTCATCCAGGCGATCTTCAGCGGAGACCCTGAAGAGATCCGAATGCTCATATACAAGTCCGAAGACATCAATGCTCTGGTGAGGACGCGAACACACATCAGAGGTGTTGGATATAATAAGAGCCGTCTTTAAAAACCCACCTGAAAGAAGTCTGTTTGACAAGAGTTCCCCCAATATCATATTTAAAGGAGACCCATTCAGGTTCATTCTTGTATTTTGGGTTTCTGCTGGAATGACTGGTTTTACTTGAGAGTCATATAAGTCATTATGAGATAATTTTCTGCCACGACTGTACCTTTTTTTTATGATTTTACCAATAGCTGCATGTATTAGTACAATTAGTACAATTTTTACGGCCATAAGTCAACGTAATGTTCTGTACTACACACTAATATTTATAGACAGGAATTTGTGTTCTCTAAAACTCAATTCAGATCGACATGCAGATTAAAAATCTTGTTTCCTGTTTGTAACCCTGCTCAAAATCAGCTAAAAAAAATGAAACCCCCGGCTCAGTGGCAGTCGTCTTCAGGCCCCACTTCCTGTTGTAGCCTGCACCCAGGGGTGAGGGACGAAGGGCCACAGGTCACGAGTCAGTGAAGCCAAAGTTCAGAGCGCGGGTTTATTTACATCATATGGACAGAGATGCATTAACACATGTCTGTATCCGGGCAGCACAGGATGGGGGCTCTCCGCTAGTATTCGGTCTCCTGTGTCTGGAGCTGGTTGCAGGACTCCCACGTCAGCGTCGTGGTCCGCTCTAGACGTGTTTCTGTTGGAGAGGCTGCACTCGGCCGAGTCACGTGGACGTGGGGGGGTGGGGGGGTGGGGGCTGGTCTTGAGCTGACTGAGAGAGACAATGGATGCGTTCACACTGATGTCTCTGTGACTGACCCTCAGCTCATCATCTGTGAACTGATATCACAGCTTTCTCTGTTCGGTGGACTCAGAAATTGTATTTGTTTGTGGCCCAATGTACAAGATAAAGTAATAAAGTGCTCTAGAGGCTGCTCAACATGCTGGAAAAACGTTCTGATGCTTCATGGAGCTGGTGCCCTTTTTATTCTTTGTCTGAGGGGCAGGGGAGCTCCAGCTCTTATTGGGGAATCTAAAAGTGTTGCTTTGGTGGGTTATCGTATTATAAGAATGTGCTAACGTGCACAGCCCCACTCTTCAACCACAGAATGCACTACTGTTTCTGTTTTGTCATGTTTGCCTTGTGAAGCATCGATGAACAAGGCTACAACTGCATTTCACTGTGCAACCCCGTCGTTGCAGAACGACAATAAATGATCCTTGAACCTTGAAACCTCAAATTTACAAGCACCCACTGACCCTCTTCCTCCCTTCAGGATGCAGAGAAGCGCACCCCGCTGCATGCAGCCGCCTTCCTGGGCGACGCCGAGATCACAGAGCTCCTCATCCTCTCTGGTAAAATACCGCCTCTACTTCCTCCTCTCGCTTCTGTCTCTCGCTGAGCTTCCACCTCTCTGTCAGCTCGTCTTGTGTCCAAAGGAAAAAAGCATGCACATCTGACAAAATTCTAGACCTTGATGAATTTGAATAACGTTAACAATACCAGTTGCAAGTGTATGAAGACGTATATTTACGTTAACAACAGAGAAAGAGTGACGTAGGTTCACATGAAGATAGGAGATAGGACAGGATGGTGGTTGTTAGAAACAATCAGTAGAATCTCCCGGGACACACTGGGAGTAATGGAGGTGGTGGTTTGTTGCACAATAGTACCTCTGAAAGACAGAATGATATTTTAGGAATGGCAGGGATTGAACCATAGAGGAATAAAGGTGGGACATGAGGGAAAAAATCTTCCACCAAAGCATCAATGCGTTCATCTCTCAACACTCTCTGACTTCCCCATTCCGCATGTAGCACTTCACCTCAAGGCCATTGGCTCCTACAGAGGAAGTGAACATTTAAAAACAGCTCCGGAACATAAAGTACTTACATTTAACATGGTTCGGATTAATACACATTTGATGTAATACTGAGTGTTTGTGGCAAAATACACTACAGAGCCACGGTTCATTGTAACGACAGAATAACGTTTATTTTTACAATCTACACTTGAAATGACTGAGAGACTTGTGAAGGACAAGGTAGCACAAAATGTCAACCATACTTTGGTGTTAATTCTTACCTCCAGTGCCAAATGTGTGTCTCATTGATTTATTTTATTTACATATGTTCTGGAACAACAATGGAGCTTAGCGGCACAAAGGAATACGATATATCAGGCTTTGATACATAGAGAGCACCTGTTGTTGCTTTTGTTTTCTTCATGGGATTTATTGACAATAAAGGGAAATTGATCTTAAATTTATTATCATAAGTCTCATAAAGTACAAAGTGTTTCAACCCTTGGAGCGCTACACCAGTCATACAGGTCTTCTAATGTGTCAGCAGTTACTGTTTCACTAATTCTTCAGTGATGTTATTGCATTCTTTTCGTTTTCTCTCACTCTATTTGACATTAAAAAGGTCTTAAATGTTAGTAGATGAAACTTCCAGGACTGTGTGTTTCCTACCGACTGTTAACATGCACGTAGCGATGAGTGATTGGTTGTTAAACCTCTCTTTCTGCCCCCCGTGTGCTTCTGCAGGGGCTCGGGTCAACGCCAAAGATAACATGTGGCTCACCCCCCTCCATCGCGCCGTGGCTTCTCGGAGCGAGGTGACTGCACGCACACACACACACACTCCTACTGAGTCCCAGTCCTTTCCTCTTCCCAAAACAACAACAAGAGAGAGATCCTCGCTGTGCCACAGGTGTCGAGGAGCTGAGCCGCACCCCGTGGTATTTACCTTAAAACAGGCCGTCATGCACACTCGTCATTCCTCGGCCTCTCCAGCAAGAGCTCGCACACTATTCTCAGCCCACGTCGGGACGACTTTGCCTTAGCAGGCGTCAAGAATATTGGCTGGAGCAGTTAATCAGCCTCCATCGCTCCCAGTGCCCAAACAAGTAATTCAGCATGGCTGGAATGGCTGGAGGAGGAATGTTTTAGAGGTGTGAAGGAGGTTTTTTACACGTCCAGGGCCTTTTACGAGTTAGTTTGCTTTGGAGGAACATATAAAGTAGTTTAAGACTGTGTCTAAAGTCATTACTTTCTTCATTAATTCATTCACATAACTGTCATTTACATGTTTTAGCAAAGTTGCAGCGTATGCTCTGGAGGAAACAATGTTCAATCCGTTGTTGGATATTTTACGCTTTGGTTAGTATATGACACGAGTTACCGAAGTAAAAAGGAAGTAATTTACAGCCTGTTGCTTTCTTCATAAAGTTGAATACTTGTTATACTGCAGTATGATTTAAAAGACCTTAAAGTAAATAGTTATTTAATGTAGTAAAACATAGGAGCAGTAATTTAAGTCTGTGTGTTTGACAGTATAATAGCAGGTTTCCTGGTACCTCAGAATTAGTACGACATACTAAAACACTTTCTCTTGTATTCATTGGCTCTGCCTCACTAAACACGGTTGATTAGGTTCCCCATTAATCTCTTTTTGTCCTTATCTTTACTCATAACTCAATCACAATATCCCGGCAATTCATTTGTAATAGCTCTTAAATAGCAAAATGTTCTGTTTTTGTTTAGCCAGCTGATTAAGTTTGTTTTTTCTGCAGATTAAAGAATAATGACAGTAAATTAATTCACATTTTTCACATTGATACAATCTCGGTGATGGATTTATTTGCAGCTGTCCTAATGTCGCCAATGTTTTAAGTCTTTAATAATATATATTTACATTTTCACTTAGTTTTCTTCCAGTTGTTGCTTCTTGTAGTCTCAAGATTTGTGTCAGTTTTTACACTGAAACATTGCAGAATTGAAAGATGTTCTAACTTCTGTGTAGCTGTGACTTTAAATACATCAACTATCCGTGGTGGTCGGAGGTGTGAGCAAATAACACAAAAAGTTATTTATCAAACTTTCTTCACACTCTCTTGACACTTTCTTCTTCAGGAGTCGGTGCGAGTTTTGATCCGCCACTCGGCGGACGTGAACGCGCGGGACAAGAACTGGCAGACGCCGCTGCACGTCGCCGCGGCCAACAACGCGCTGCGCTGCGCCGAGGTCATCATCCCGCTGCTGAGTAGCGTCAACGTGTCGGACCGCGGCGGACGCACCGCGCTGCACCACGCCGCCCTCAACGGCCACACCGAGGTACTGCAGACGCTAGCTGACTGTCTGTAAAATGAAGTAATCCTCTGCAGCGCTGAATCCACTTCCCTTCACCAACACGAGCAGGCTGTGATGTAACCGGCCTTTGTGCTATTCCGGTGAGATAGTTTGGTTAAAGGAAACAGATGGGCGGCTGCAGCTGTGTCATCGGGGTTATTAAGTGGGTTGTTCATTTTGAAATGCTCCTTTTCTTACATTCACAAATATGCTGAAGTCTAAAATTAACAATGAGAGGCGGCAGATTTCTGAAGCCAAACTGAATGAACGGCTTCTTCTATGTCTCTCCAGAGTGTTTATGCAACAACTGAGCCGTGATGAGATGCATTTACATTGCTGTTATATAAAGACCATCACCCCCACACTCACACACACACTCACACATATAAACATGAAAAATACATATATCTTATCTTACCCACTAATTCGCCCTCCCTCTGTCAGATGGTAAACCTCCTCCTGGCTAAAGGGGCCAACATCAACGCCTTCGATAAGAAAGATGGCCGCGCGCTGCACTGGGCAGCTTTCATGGGTAAGAGAGTTTGTTAACGACGTGTCACACGCCGTGCCTTTTATTTTCTGGAAGTAGATCGTTGTAAAAATGAATCAGTGGCTCATTCTGAGTCACCTAACAGTCGAAGGCGCTATTCATTAGAGCTGGAAACAAGAAGCAACATAACACTCTTTAAAGTTATTAAGTGTGTAAACTGGTGTGACAAAGCTTTATTTTTTGTATTCGTCGGTGCTCGGGCCCGAATAAAAAATATATATATTTGTGGTACATATTTAAGATGATTACGATTTTTTTTTTGCCGAAAGAAAGGTTTCCAATTTTATATTTTGAGTCAATTAATGGATCAGTTGATTGTCAGAAAATGTCAGATGTCTCAGATTTATAATATTTTTGCAGCTTCTCTGTTTTATTTTATTGTCAATTCAATTATTTGGTGTTTTGGGCTTTTTGTCAAACATAACAATTGACTCAAAGACGCCACCATGGGCTCTGGAAAACTGTAGTGACACAATAAAACAATAAAACAAACTGTTTTGACGCTGCATGGAGTTAACGATGAATTAATTAATATATATATTAAAAAAAGATGCAGTTTGTGATCAGTTGTGAAAGTATAAAACTATTTTTGTTTGTTACAAAAAGCAAAAACAGTGTTTATCGCTTTAGTGTTTCTTCTAGTTCTAGTCCATAAACACCTTCTATAACAGCTGATTCCTCTCTTTTGGGCCCCTGTGCTCTGGTGCGCCCCCTGCAGGTCATTTGGATGTGGCGTGTCTGCTGGTGAGTCAGGGAGCCGAGATCAGCTGTAAGGACAAACGGGGATACACTCCCCTCCACGCGGCGGCCTCCAGCGGGAAGATCGCTGTGGTCAAACACCTGCTGAACCTGACGGTGGAGGTCAGGACACACACACACACACACAGTTGTCTTTCTATACTTGTGAGGACCTTCATTGACTTGCATTCCCTAAATGTCCTTACTTTCGAAAATATCCTGACTCCCAATGTCTTCACTCAAGTTGGTCCTTACAACTCATTCTCCATTTTTAAACTAGCACTTATTACATCCTCATTCACAAACGCACATGTACACACTTTACGCACAACACTGACACACACACACACACACACACACGCCTTTCCTCGGCCATAATAACGGGTCTTGTTGTTTTTTTGTTGCCCTGAAAACAGATAGATGAGAGCAATGCATTTGGGAACACGGCCCTCCACGTGGCCTGTTTTAACGGTCAGGACGCCGTCGTCAGCGAGCTGATCGATTACGGCGCCAACGTCAGCCAGGCCAACAACAAGGGCTTCACCCCGCTGCACTTTGCCGCCGCCTCCACACACGGAGCGCTCTGTCTGGAGTTCCTGGTCAACAACGGGGCGGATGTCAACGTGCAGGTGCGCAGGCTAATAAATTACATGCTAAGGGTTAGCACGTGGACATGATAACAGCTTGTTAAATTGCTAATGTGTAAGAAGATGTGTAAGAAGTAGGACCATAATTGAGATTATTAATATCACCCACAGGGGCTATTAGTATTATTGCTTGTGTTTCTCAAACACAAATCAATGTTTCACATTCTAATCTGAGATCTGTTGATTTATTTCTCCTCCACCTTCTTCAGAGTCGTGACGGGAAGAGTCCTCTTCACATGACGGCAGTTCACGGACGCTTCACTCGCTCCCAGACGCTCATCCAGAATGGTGAGACCTCCTCATGCTCGTCTCTTAAAGTCGCATATTCTCCCCGTAGATAATATGAATAAATTAACATTTTACTTCAGGCGGGGAGATCGACAGCGTGGACAAGGACGGCAACACCCCTCTCCACATCGCTGCCCGCTACGGTCATGAACTCCTCATCAACACGCTCATCACAAGCGGAGCAGACTGCACGAGGTTTGTTTTGTTCTCCTGTTGAGACGTTTGCGTTTGTTATTATTTCAACGACAAGGTATCTGGTAAAAGAGACTATTGTTTCCATCTCCCTCCAAAGGCGAGGAGTCTACGACATGTTCCCTCTCCACCTGGCTGCCTTGAACGCTCACTCTGACTGCTGCAGGAAGCTGCTGTCCTCAGGTGAACTAGTAGGAAGTGGATTTAGTTTGTTCATCAAATCTGCAACTTTAGCTTGCATCGTTACTAAAACCAATATTCTGGACTGCCTCAACTTTGATTGGTGTTCAATTCTTGTGTGCTTCAGCAGAATACACTAAAAATAATCTTCATGAAGGTCCAAATTCAAAGAGTATAACCTTTTGTCTCGATTCTAAAACAATAACCTTTTATATATGAGTTAAACATAGCAGTTATTTCTGAGAGCTCTTGAATCAACATTTGCATATCCGCTAAATAACATCTTCTATCTTAGATTGTAGATTTTTTTCATGGGAGGTTGGGGCCTGGTTGTTTTTCTTGCTCCCAGTGGTGAATTCCTCCTGAAGCACATATTCAGCTCGGGCCAAATTCAAGTCACAATGCTCCAGAAAGAAGACAAGGCCTCTCTGAGTCTAATTACTCACTGATGGGACCGCTCTCCCTCCGGGGGGGAAAGGAGTGTATTCTGTTGAGTTCTCCTCTTAGTAGTTGATATCTTGTTTGCATCTGAAAAGTTTACTTGTTGCTTTTTTGGCAATGAAATAATTTGTCTTTCCACTCATCCCCGTATAATTTGTGGGTTTCTGACTGAGGGGAATGAGATTAACATTAAACAAAGTAGAAGTAGAGGCAGAAAGACGACAATCCTTTTCGCCACTTGTGTCCGGAGGCGTGGAGCAGAGGACGAAACTCCTCGTGTGGCTCTGCTGAGTCGCTGCATTGAAACAACAAAGAAGTCATTTACATGTGCTTGAGCCATGTGCAGCTGCAGTGTTGCTGCTGTCTGGTCAGGACTGTTGTGAGCAGGAGCGGTGCTGAGCTTTTGTATTTGTTGCACTCACTTGTTGCCGCTAAATCAGGAACTAAAAGTCCCTTTTACATCTGAAGCACCGTGAAGATTAGGCAACAAGACGACAACACATCGTCGTCATGTTGTTCTTTGTAATGTTTCAATACATTCATGTGGCTGATACTTTTATCCAAAGATACACAAACTATAGCATGCTAGATGCTTGGATTTATTTATTATTTAAAGAAATCAGCATAGCATGCAGTGTGGGGCTGTAGTCTGAAAGTTGAGGGTTTGAGTGGATGTTTTCTGTGCAGACATGCCAAAGCGCCCGTCTGCAAAGTATGGACGCTCTGCTGACTGTTTTTCTGGTTGTTCTCATGATTCAGCAGGTAAACCACATTGAAACAATTATCAAACTAGAACGGCACCCGGAGAGCGCAGAACTCATCCAAGGCTGTTTGCATAAGTGAAGAGTAATGCGCGTATCCGCCCCGTGATTCGGATGCGCTCCAAAATTTAATTAGTTCTTCTTTGGTAATAAAAAAGATGCCCTCTTAGGTTAACTTCCCATCTCTAGTCCTTGTTCTGTTGACCACCAGTGCTCATTTGTTATGTGGATGAAAGCTTTAAACTAGTTTAGCAGCCTCGAGGCTTGTGTTTGGTTCAGCAGACTCCACACTAATAGTTCTTGGCCAATCACAAAGTCCTCCATCAGGAGCAGGGAGGCTTTCTTTCAGTGCAGGAACATTGAGGAACAAAACTGAATCCAAGATCTCGCAGTTGAAAGACACATTGTTAGATTACGTGTGACCCTGTGACCATCGCAACAGACATAAACACTGCTGTAGTTCCAAAATTGTTGTCAGTAAGAAGGTTTCAGGTTGCTTTCGGATAGACGTTTTGAGGCCATTGCTATTGGGATGAGAAATCCTTCGCACATTAAATTTCTTCTTCCTGAATTCCTAAAAATGTCGAAGTGTTCCCTCGAAAAAAAGGGGCTGAAAAAAAGGGGCTGTGCTACTGAACATTTTGTGCTTTCTCTCTCTGATTCCTTCCTTCTTCTTACATAAGACATATCCTCTTTATCTCTCTCTCTCTGTAACATGTAGCTTACAGATATTTACGTGTTTTCCAGTATGCATGGCCAGCATCATGCACTCTCACCTGACCCCACCTTCCCACCCGCCTGTCGCACTTACACCTGTCTCTCTCTCCACCTCCTCCTCCTCCTGTCTCCCTCTCCCTCTGCCTCCCCGTGGTGGCTGCTGCTGTGTGTTGTCTGGCCTCCCCCCTGTCCGTCTCCCCGCGCTGCCCTCTTCAGGCCGGAGGTATAGCATAATGTGTAACCACTCGGTCCTGTCTGCAGGCTTCCAGATAGACACTCCTGACAGCATGGGGAGGACCTGCCTGCACGCCGCTGCTGCCGGAGGGTGAGCCACACAGTTTGTTACACATGAAAGGTTTAAGAACGCCTTAAAGGATCATTTGGGTTTATTACAACATCTCTTATCAACATCTGTGAACTCAGCAGCATGCACAAGCAGTGAGATGATCAGACAAGTCGCACACAGTTTATTCAGATCATCTAAACAAGATGAAAAAAGAGCAAATGTGTGCATAAATAAGAGTAAATAAATGCATGTAGATGGAAAGGCTCGTGTTTTGTTCGTCTCATCAGTACGAATGTACGCTAGCCTTTTCACATTAGATTCAATGTTCTAAGTAGGCTACAGTTATCAGAACAATATGATTAATCATGTGGTTTAAAGGTGTACTGCAGGTATTAATGTTAAATAAAAGGCAATGGAAGCAGTCTTTGGAAATGACTGATATGAACCACTTCATTTGAGTAAGCTCCCCTGAAATTGCACAGAAAAACTGAGCATGCACAACTACGGCAAGTCGGAAGTTTCCTTTCACCTTCGCTTTGGCCTCAACCTGAACTCATCCAAACTTCCTCAACTGACTTCTTCTTAATGAAGCCAGTTGAGGAATCTAAGTATTACATTTATTCCTTCCTTTGGGTTATTAAGGATCACTTTTAGTTGTTTTTAAGCTTAAATGTGTGACTGTTACATATAAATGTAGATGATAGATATAGATGGGAAAAACGTTTCAAGTCATAGTAACAAAGAAGTCTATATTGATCTATATATGTTTGTATGGTGTGAATGGTCTTCCTGTAGTAATTGCTCTCTCTCTCTGCAGTAATGTGGAGTGTGTTAAGCTGCTCCTGAGCAGCGGTGGAGACCACAACAGGAGGGATAAGTGCGGCAGGTAAGAGAGCACAACGCGGTTTTAACAACACTTGGTTTTATGTAATGTAAAATGAAATATCTAAGTATGGCAGTATGCAAACATTCTATACAAAGATTATAGTCTACTGTAATATATGTGAAAGCAGATATGAGTGTTTGTTGATAAGTGGAGGCTGGCATATCAGCAGATAATGAATGACACTATGATTAAATACATTTGTAATAATATAAAATATGTCATCATAGAAGTTAGAATTGTTGACAAATACTATACATTAATATACACCAACAAGCTCCATACAACTGCATTATATTGTGTTTATAACCCATTTATTGAATGTTTGTTTGGTGCTGAGAAATGCTAATTATGGGACTTACAGATTCTTCACTTTGAGATGACAAATGGGAGATTTATTGATAATGATAATAACTTGTTTGTTGCATCCTTATCTGTAAAATAAGCATAGTTTTGGGTGTTGTCCTTTTTTGGTGTGTGTGTGATTGGGTGTAGGTAAAGGGGGGGTGTGTGTGTGTGTGTGTGTGTGTGTGTGTGTGTGTCCTTAATTGTTTGAGTCAGCTATTCAGTGCTTCATTTTCTAAAAGAGTCGACTCGACACACCTGTTGGTTTGTGGGATTCATTTCCTGTTAGTCTGCATCGGTATCTTATTTAATAGACGGGGAGTCACCAACATGTATCTATTGTTATATAAACGTTTTAGAACAATATAATTCGTATTTGCTCAAGGACACTCTGTCCACATAGTTTCGTTTTCGCTCTTCACTTCCAGTTAATGCTGCATAATTAATACTGTTATAATTTGTGATATTAAGTTCCTTTTTCTGTTTCTGCTCGACACTTCCTCTGTGCATAGAGAGGTTGTTTTCTCCGCCCAGAGATATATATATATATATATATATATATATATATATATATACACACACACACACACACACACACACACACACACACACACAAAGAGCTGAAGGCAGCAGTTGCTACGAATATGTTAAACATGTTGAGGGACCATTTAGAGTAGTTCGTTTTTAAGGTCTTTGATTGGTCTTGGGTGTTTTGTAGGTTGTAAATGTTCCTGTATAAAAAAACCGATGAGTTAGAAAACATAGATTTTAAATACTGTCTGCTGAGTGTCTGGGCCTGTACTCTCAAGCTTCAGATAGCTTAATGAGTGTGTCCTCTTTCATTTAGCATTAGTTCTGATTAAGTTATCATCAAATGCACAACAATTACAGTCACTGCCAATTGAAATCTTGGGTCTCGAGCTCCCTCCGATGAGGCTTATTAAATATGGATAAAAAGAAAATAATAATAAAAATAAATAGGGAAAATGGGAGCAAATCTCTGCATCCAGGTTCCAACTTCTTATGGAAAGCCTTTCAACCACCACACGGGCAGTAAAGTCTGTATGTCCTGACTCTAGGTGTTAGAATCGGTATAAAGTACATCCTTATATCGGTGCCTCTGAAGACATATCTTTGTTTCCTCTCCTCCTGTTATTTCCCAGAACCCCCCTGCACTACGCGGCCGCCAGCCGTCACTATCCGTGTCTGGAGACTCTGGTTGCTTGTGGCACCGCCGTCAACGCCACGGACCAGTGGGGGCGCTCCGCCCTGCACTACGCCGCTGCCTCGGACCTGGACCGGAGGTGAGGCCGGCTGATCTTCACCGTTTCTTTTTTTTAATGTTATAGATGTGGAGAGGAGGTGGGAAATCTGAAACCTCTTCGCACCACTTCTCTGGGTGTCTGTCTGCTGTTACTACATATAGAAACCTGATGCTCCTGTTTCCATGCTAACCATGGCGGTGACACTGAGGTGGTGGTCATGGATTGGCTGCACCACAGTTTAGTTATCCACTTACTTTTTGGCAGTAGTGGGTTACCAGCACGTTAGAAGAGGCTGTTGTTTGAGGGCGTTACGGCTTTATCCTCTTTTATCTCACCCGTCTCTCCTCCCTCCCTCCTGTTGTCTCCCCCTCTACAGGCGTCGTGTGGCTCTGGAGCCGGAGAGTGAAGGCGTTCAGGCGGAGAGGGAGAAAGAAGCAGCGCTGTAAGTCCACACCAAGAAATACATTTTGACATAAAGTTGAGCAGCTTTTGAGTAAAAAAACGCACAAAAAGTGACAAACTTATATATAAAAGTATATTAACAAAAAGCTGTATACGTAGTAAAAACTGTTTTTATTATTTTTCTATTTGTTTATAATATTTAAATATTCCAAAGAGAAACAAACATCTCTCCTTTATGATGATTCATCATAATTGTTAGCATATAAAGCGCCATATTTGTGAGTGTTTTGTTGATTGCCCCACAAATAAAATGGAGGCTTTACTCACAGCTGTAGGAAATAGAAATATGAAGCCGTGTGTTCCTGTTCAGTTGCATGTTTGCTGTGTTGGTGTCTTGAATGACAACTGCAGATGTTCTGTGTTCCAGATGTTTGGAGTTCCTGCTTCAGAGCGGAGCCACAGCCTCTCTGAAGGACAAACAGGGCTACAGTCCCGTCCACTATGCTGCAGCGTACGGACACAGGCACTGTCTGGAGCTGGTCAGTACACACACACACACACACACACACACACACACACAGGGAGGAAATGGTTGTAAGTAGACTCGAGGCGTTTTCTCCATCTGTTGGCTGATCATATTTTCTCTGCACGCTCGGAAACAACATTCCAGTTTTCTGGTTTCTCTTGTCTCATGCATAAAGTATGATTCCATTAATTGAGTTTTATTTAAGGTATAAAGTATATATTATGTATGAGTGGACCGTCAGTGGGTTTACGTTGATGTGTGTCGTTGTGACCGACAGCTGCTGGACAGAGACGACAGTCACCAAGACGACCCTGAATCTCCGAACGCTCGGAGCCCGCTGCACCTCGCCGTGAGTCTCACGCACACGCACACACACGCACACAGTCTTAATAGTACTGATACAATACCTGAGTTTTGGTACCAAACTTTTTGGGGTTTTCCCAAAGCGACACGTTTAAAGCGTCTGTGTCTCTGCAGGCGTACCACGGCCACGCTCAGGCCCTGGAGGTGCTGCTGCAGGGGGAGCGGGAGGTGGACCAGGGGGACGAGGCGGGGAGGACCCCTCTGGCCCTGGCCGCCCTCCGGGGCCACGCCGAGTGCGTTCACACCCTCCTCGGCCAGGGGGCATCGCCACGCTCCACCGACACCCATTACGGACGCAACCCAGTCCACCTGGCAGGTGGGTTCAGTCAGTCTCACCTTTCCTTCCCGCTTCCTCTTTATTCTCTGCCACGTTAACATCGGTATCAACTCAAGGTGTCGTGAAACGGCCAAAATTATGTGGACACTTTTGTTTTTCATGGTTCGGACCAGATTCAGCACATTTTAAACAACAATATGCTTCCAGCTGTATTTTACCAGTGTGTGTGTGAAGTCTCTGTCCTGTAGCAACACAAGAGCGTCCCCGTGCACAAAGCCAGCAATGTAACAAAAAGTAGTTTTCCCAGTTTGGTGTGGGAGAGCTTGACTGGTTTGCACAATCCTGACCTCATCCAACAGCTTCACGATGAACTGGAACGCCGAATGTGAGCCGGACCTGACCGGACCGGTTCTGAATTGAGACCGTCACATTCTAGATGGAACTTTTTCTAGTGTGTAAAGAAAGTGTTATTCAGTCAAACTGAATGACTTTCTGAAGCCACAGTGAGGTTTAAAGCCTCGTCCGTACTGTAGTTCAGTGATAACTGCTCATATCTCTGCATAAGAGCAGGTCATGTGTTGTATTTGTTTCTATTAAACACACTACTCACACTAGGATTATTTCCTACTTTCTGCAGTGGTGACGCAGTGACACCGTCTGATCTGATTTGTCATCTAACTGACTATTAATAAACATTTCTGTCTCTCTGTTTGTTGTTGCTCTCGCTGTCACTCCCTCTCCGGCTTCCTGCAGTGATGAACGGTCATACGACGTGTGTGCGCCTCCTGCTGGATGAATCGGACGGTGCAGACCTGGTGGATGCTGCCGACTCTCAGGGACAGTGAGTAGTTGTTTCCCTTCCCATTCAAGTTTTTCCTCATCTGTTCCAGTTTTTCTAAATATTATTTTGAATGTGTCGTCCTTCTCTGCAGGACTCCTCTGATGCTGGCGGTGGCAGGCGGTCATGTGGACGCCGTGTCCCTGCTGCTGGAGCGAGAAGCCAACGTGAACCTGGCGAGTAACAACGGCCTCACGGCACTGCACCTCGGGGTGAGCGTTAGCACTCTCTCCTCCTTCCTTTCCTTTGTGCAGACATGAGTGTTCCACCTGAACTATTATAGACTGTATGAGTGTTTGATTAGAATCAATTGATGTCTTTCAATGCACATGTGCACATCTGGGAATATTTTAAATGTTTGTTATAATAGAAACCAGCAGCATGTTTCTTCAGCTCGATTCTGACTTAAAGCCCCTTTGTCTCCTCGCCCAGCTGCTGTGTGGTCAGGAGGAGTGCATCCAGTGTCTGTTGGAGCAGGAGGCCTCGATTTTGCTCGGCGACTCTCGAGGTCGAACCGCCATCCACCTGGCCGCCGCCCGAGGTCACGCCTCGTGGCTGTGCGAGCTGCTGAGCATCGCCTGCTCCGAGCCGCCGTCCCTCCCCCCGCTGAGAGACCACAGCGGGTACACGCCGCTGCACTGGGCCTGCTACTACGGTCAGTTCACACGGACGCTTCAGTCTTTATTATTCTTTATCTGAATGATTTATCAATGATTCGTTGTTGAACGATTTGTTCATATTTCTGCTTTTTTTTTTAAACTATGTACAAGTACTCCATTTAAGTGCAGTTCTGATGTATATGTACTTGAGTATTTCAACATTATATTACTTTATACCTCTACTCTACTACATGTTTGTGTGAAATATCGTACTTTTTTTACTTTTTACTTATAAATCATGATATATTATTATGTATGACGCTACCCTGCAGTATATAAAGTAGTTAAGATGAGCTCAACCTTTACCTGCTACCATCACATTCATGCATCAATAATTATAATCCATTAATATAAGATATGATATTCTGAAATAGGTGATTCTGCATAATATGTACTTCATATTCTGATGCTTATACTTTTGTACTTTTATAAGATTCTGAATACAGGACTTTTACTTGTACTTGTACTTGTACTTGTCAGAGTATTTCTACATGTTGTCTTTTCCACACTGTCTGTGTGTGTGTGTGTGTGTGTGTGTGTGTGTGTGTGTGTGTGTGTGTGTGTGTGTGTGTGTGT